AATTTCTCTGCAGGGATTTCTGCTGGATATTCTTGTAGCAATGGGGTTAATAAAATCGAACCATTTCTGGCTAGACGTGGAGCATTTGGAGGAAGCTCTTCAGAATGTGTTGGTGATTATCGAGATGGTTTTCTTCGCACTTTTCATGCAGTATGCATACACAGCCGAGCCTTACCGCACGAGTTCTTTAGCTTCCGAAAAAAACGACAAGAAGAGCAAATGACTCCAGAGATAAAAATCGCAGTAAACAAAAAAAGAAAAAAACGAAGAAGAAGAAAATGAGACACCATTGTTAGTCTTAGTCTGCTTCTTTGTTTGTGCACTGGTTAGTGAGTGTCTATATTCATGCAAAGGGGCACTCTATTTGGATATTGCATTTTATGCTGAATAATAACTGTGGCATTGTATTGGACCTTAGTTTTGTAGTTTAAGACTTAGAGGTTAATATATATTGGAGGAGCTCTGTTTTATTTTATATGTTGCAATTATTAGGCTGTTTTTTAGCCAAGTATAACCGTTATCACCATTATACTCTTTTAATAAATATGAATACTTTCATGATCAATCCATATATTATAAAAAATAATATAAATAAAAATATGATTTCACTATATAAGTATGTATTTTTCTATATGTCACGAGTAATAGTAGGAACTTTAATGAAGTAGTTTTATGTGTTATGTGCGTCCGCATGACATACTATTTGAATGAAAATATTTACTTATAAATGTTATATTTTGTTTATTTTTTTTAGTGAAAGCATGTAAATTTATAAAATAATATAATACTATTTGAATGAAAATATTTACTTATAAATGTTATATTTTGTTTATTTTTTTTTAGTGAAAGCATGTAAATTTATAAAATAATATAATAATATACGGGTCTACATTCTAATGTTAGATCCACCAAATGCACCAAGAAGAAGATAGGAAGTTCTTGCTATTAAAATCCTTCCAATGGCCACTTGAAAATTTTGTTAATATATTTTATGGTTCTAATCTGTTCTAATCAATGACAGTTAATAAATCATAAGAGCATCTCCAATGTTCTAAATATTGTTGTAGAATAAATTTTGACAAATGTCAATAAATTAAATGGATTGTGAACCATGTAGGAAAAATATTAAGTTTACAATTATAAAATTCAAAAATTATCTTCAATGCACAATGTAGTCTAACTACAATATTATTTACTTACCGAATATTAAAATTTTATAATATGTAGTAAGAAAATTAATTAATTAATTAAATAATTTAGAATTGGTAATAATAATTCTCCCTCTTCTCTTTATTGACTAGCTAGAGTGTGGAGGAGATTGTGGATGGTCTACATTCTTCTCTACATTGTAGACATTAATTATGTTCACATCATCACAGTGCATTGAAGGATGAACAATTGTGACATTGCTAAATATGTTGATGTGAAATTTAATTTATCACGTTTGAGCATTAGAGATGCTCTAAAGCATAAAACTCTAACTAATTCAAGAAACACCCATCAAATTTTTGGGTGAGACAAATTTTTTTTAAAGAATATTTTATCAAATTGCAGCCTCATTTTGTATGTTTATTTTTCAGGGTCGGAAACCATAATATCCAATCATTTTTATCTGTTCTCTGATTTTCAAACAAAGAAAATTGCTGCTCGATCACTTCACCTCCATAGACGAACACCAAGATCTTTCATTTACCTTCTTTAATCTTTACCATCATTAAGCTTCGGCATGCCAGCACTAGTACAGTTCTCCACCAGCTTCTCACCCTTCCTACCTCTCCACAGACACACAAATAGTTCTACCAAGAACTTTATCAAATCCGCAAAGCCCATCAATTATTACACTAACTCAAGAGCAAAGCCTGAATCTTTACGCAAATACAGGTTCTGGGCAGCTGCTTGGAGGGATAAATTGTCATTTTCAGGATTGGGCAGGGGCAAAAATGGGATTATTTTGAGTAGGGGTAGGAGGGTTGTGTTAGTGAAATCAAATAATGGGCTCAAGGGTTTTCGCGGCGGCGGCGGCGGTGGTGGTCGGAAAATTGACGGTGAAACTGTAAGGGTATTGGGAAATCTAGCTTTGGCAATTTTCTTGACTTATCTCACTATGAATGGGCAGTTGGGTTGGCTTCTTGATGCTGTTGTTTCCATTTGGGTATTTATTTTTCCTCTTTTTTATTATTATTTGCTTTGTCCTTAAATAGAGCTTGTGTGTTGTGTGAGTGTATGTTACATGTTATACTGATATGAATATAGAGAGTTCATGAGCAGAATCTGGGCCTTAGTGCAGTTTGAGTTTTGAGCTTAAGATCGATCTTCTTTTGTAGTAAAATTGAAAAATTGATATGGTAATTTATTTCTGAGTGATTGATATTTGAATTTGATAGTTCACTTCGATTCTGATTGATGTCCTAGCAACTAAGAACCAATGGTTACGGTGATTTTAAGTTCAGTTCGCCTCTCTAAGTTCAATCTGATGGCCATGAATTATCATTTAAGTAAGGTTTTTTCTTGTTGGAGGTTTTCTACAGCATCTTATAAGGTTGGATTTGTTATTTCACATTGCCTGATTCCTTAGTCTCAGCTTATTGCAGTGCTTGTGCCAATTGTCGGAATAGGAGCTTTGCTTTGGTGGACGAGTCGAGTTATAGTCCACAGCAACGTAAGACATTCTTTTCAACTTTGTGTGAATGGGCATTGATTGATGCAGTTAATTGCAATGTGCTTTGCATGACCAAATAAAAATGCCTTGAATTTTTTCACTATTTTTAAAGCGCCTCAAATGATTTTATCATCCGAAACGTGCGAGAATCGATTTTCGTTTGCAGTCTATTTTCTCCAAGGTTTTATGGTTTTCTGAAAGTAGCGCCTTTCGTCACTTGATCTCGATGATAATTATAAAATTCTAACACTTCCTTGTGAATTGCTTACATTAGCCTATGTTAAGGATGAAATATTTTACCTAGTATTAATTTTTCTTTCTTTTTGTCTGCCCTTCCCATAATGCATGATAATGTGTTCATTGACCAAACTGATTTACGTGCAGTGCCCGAACTGCGGAAATGAATTTCAAGTTTTCAAGTACGTTATGCTCTTGAGCCCTGAATTTGTCTTCTTTTTTTTAAAGCTTATCATTTTTCATTGGTTAATTCTTCCATTTATTTTGTTGCAGATCTTTGAATGATGAGGTCAAATTGTGCCCATTCTGTAGTCAGCCCTTCTCAGGTATATATGGTACAAATGTCAGGTGGAATTGTAATTTTATAAATACAATTGTAATTAGGCTAAACCTCAGGATAGGAATTTAACTAACCATATATGTAACGTCTGTTGCTTCTATAGCCAATTTTTCTTAGTTACAACCCCTTTACAGCTTGAGTCTTATCTTATAGCTGAAAAAACATGCTCGTTTTATTCACAATGTGCAGTGGAGGGTGATAAGTTTGTGCGGGACCCAGTGACATTTTCCAACGAATCAACGATGTTTGATCAAGTTTTCAACGAATTCTCTCCTCGAACAAAGAAAGGTTTGTTTCTTTCTTTCCCTGTTCTTTCAAGAAGGAAAAATCTTCGGATAATCCATTTGACAAAAAAACTAAAATTTATTTCGTTTTTCCAAGTGTGCGTTCTTGCACAAGTAAAAATAGCTCCTTTACAAATTGCCTCTTACTTGGATTTATTTGTTAGGTAAATATAAAACATGTTGTGATAGCTTTCTTCTAAATATTCTCTTGTATGTATAATGTGTCGATTTTTTACAGGCAGAAAATCGTCTGGTTCTGTAGTGGATGTCGAAGCAGAAATAAGAGATGCAGATTGAAAGCAGCTTTTCATGGTAAATTGCAAGTTACGTGTGTGTGTGTGTGTGTATACGAAAGTAGCATTTTTGTTGTTCGGCTTAGACAATCGACTTTGTTAGGAATGATTCGAAGATACTGTGCCATTATTGTATATAGTTCAGGAATTATCTTGCAGGGGTTCAGCTACATAGATTTGTGAGGGTATAGTGGAAACCATGAACACTCAGATAATCGGTTGCTCTATTGTTCTATATCTAATGACCTTCTGTAAAAATCTTTAATTTATTGTCTAATTTATACTCCTTTATTCAAAAGAAAGACAATGTCAGTGGATTCATTTAGAATTTAGAGTGACATTTTGAGACTTTACTTATTAGAAGAACTCAAATGTCTCAATATGGAATGAGGCAGTAAGGGACACAATCACAAACTAGAAAAAAAAATTAAAAAGAAATGAAATTTGCTCGTCAGGAGAACTATAAGCTTCCAATGATATAAAAATTATTTGCCAAACACAAACATTTGTTCAAGGCGCCATCAATCTTCTTCTACCAACTTCATATTACTGCTCAATCTATTTACTATGGCTAAATTTACCATCACAGGCTACCCTCAAAAGACAGGACAATCTCAAGCACTTTAACCAGTCAGAATTGTTGAACGCATTGCTAAATCCAGAAACAAGATAATTCATAATGAAGTATCAAATTGACCAATTCAAATGCAAATTATCTAATTGGGGGAAAATTTAACCTGGACAGTGAAACAACCAGTAGCAATATATTATTAATTTATTACCATCTCATCAAATTTACAAAGTTAAACCGATAAGGTCGAAAATGGAGTGTTGCTGGCAGTACGAGAAATGTTGGGGGTGAGAATTGTAAAGATCTTTATTTTACAAAATATAAATGTTGGATACAAAACAAAAATGGGTTTTAATTGGATTTGCTTAAAAGTGACTTAATTTTAAATAAGTTGATTGAGTTAACATTGAGTGTGATTTTGAGTTTGTATTTAAATAATATTTAAATGTAATAATTAAAATTGATTTGATATAAATCAAAATAACAAAAAAAAGTAGGATATGTATTATAGAAAATGATAAGTAACTAAAATATATGTGCGTGAATAAATAATGAATTAAAATTGATATAATAAATGACAGTAATTGATGGGTATTATTTAATTATAATTATAATATTGAAAAGAGTTGAGTTGAATTAAATTTGAATCTAACTTTGAGTTAAAACTGTAAAAAATTATCAAATCTATCAAAAGCAGTTTTAATATAAAGGCAATCCCCCTAAGTTGTGCCTCAGTTTTTAACTTTTTATAACCGAGAATATGGTTCAGTGTCGATTGGAGGTGTTAAATGAAACGCGTACCGGCTGTCAATTTTAGCCTCTCCGCATTACACACGACCAACAAAACTCAGCACGGAAAGAAGATAGGTCTCTTCCACACAACTACACCTTTGTCACCTTCTCTCTCTTCTCTTCCTCCAATTTTTCCTCTCCTGTCCTAGCCGATTATCTTCATCGGATTACCTCCCTTCCAGCAGCCTTGGCCTTCTAATCTCGGTGAGCTTCCCTCTCGCCCTAGGCTCGGCAGAGCAGCAGTGGTGGTCCCATGCTTCTCCATCCTGTAGTGGTTTCACTTGGTTATGAGCGCCATGGCGGGCGAGGAAAGGCGGAATTCGTCGGAGGTCGTGTTCCGGCGGCTGCCACGGGCACTCTTGCGGTTGTCTGTGGCGATGGCCTTACTTTGGTTCCCTCTATTTCAGTCGTCCCTAGTGTTGAGACGATGCGGTCCTCCGGCGGCGGCGGCGTGGTTGTGTGGCGGCTCCGGCGTATGCGTAGGGGGACTGCGGTGTGGGCCGGCCTGAGTGGGTCTACGAAGATCTGGGGGCTGTCGGTTTTGCGGTCCGGGTCTTGTTGGGCTGGGTCGTAATACTCGTGGCTTCCGCTCGATTTTCGTGTTTGGATGTTTGCTTGGTTGAGTTGGTGCTGGGATTTCCCGTCTGGTGGGGAGAGCGTTAGTTTTAGTTTAGTTTTAGTTTGTTTTTATTAGTTTTCGTGTTTTTGTGTTTCTATCGGGCTTTTGTTTTTATGTTTTGTGTGTTTTCTCTCCAGCAGGGAAATGTGTGTTTCTCCCGTTGGGGAGTGTGTTTCTTCCGTAGGAGAGCATGTATTCTCTGTTGGGGAGCTTTTTCTCCTTTTGTGGAGTTTGTTAGCTTTTTCTGTTGTTAGTGGGTAAGTTTGTTCTTGTGTTGGTTCTATGCGATCTTTTGGATCTGTCCTCTCATCAGATTTGGCTTTTGAGCTGTCTGTTTTGGTTTTTGGGCTATTTCTTAGATGTATGTTTGTGGTTTTTCAATGAAATTCTATCGTTCGAAAAAAAAAGAAAAAAAAAAGATAGGTCTCTTCCACACGAGAATAAGTTTAATATCATGCCTCAATTAAGGCATTGCACTAGTTGAGACATGTGAGGACACTTCATCAAGTAGCACCAAATACTTATGTTATATTAATACTCATTCGGTGAAATTTAGAAACTTGTAGAAAACATTCACGAAGAATTTTCTAGGAAATATTTTTTGCTTAGTCTTTAAGAAACTTGTAAAAAACATTCCTGAAGAATTCTCTAGGAAATATTTTTGTTTAATCTTTAAGAAACTTGTAGAAAACATTCTTGAAGAATTGTCTAGGAAATATTTTTGCTTAGTCTTTAGTTAAGTTTAGATTATTCTTAGATTAATAAAAGTTAATGAAAGAGGCTATTATTGTGTGGTAGGATTAGAATTGCCTAAACCACCTCATATTCTCTATATATATATATGTGTGCAGTGAAGGATGAACAACAAATTTAGGAAGAAAGCCTAACTAATTATACTCATAATAAAAGTCTCCTTTCTCATTAACATTTCCAAATTTCAAGTATTATTTTAATTTATATTTTTCATATCATTTTTAATCTAATATCACAATTAATCAAACTTATTCGAAGGATTTGATTCAGTGTCCATTTGCAGACACGACCCACAAAACTCCCCACAAAAAAATAAAAGTTAAAAAAAAAAATAGTTTTGCTTAATAAGTTATTCTTAGGCATAAAAGTTAATGAAAGATGCTATTATTTAGATAACATATGTAAATAAAATATTTTTTGGACAATATATATAAATTAAATATTGTATAGTTGTTATAATCATGGTTTAAAAATCAGACCGCTGTTCGATCGGTTTCCATCACAACGGTCCGGTCTGATCGGTTAAAGCGGTTTCCATCACAACGGTCGGGTCTAAGGTGTTACAACGGCTAATTGCTTAAATACGCTCAATTGTTTTGATGTATTCTGGGACTCCTTTTTCCCCTTTTTCGATTCTATCTTCTTTTTTTAGTGAATACTTTTGAGCTTTTTACTTGGACCTAGGTCAAAAGCCCAATTAAGTTAATTAATGTTGTGGCAGTGAAGTTTGGTTTATTCCACTTTTTAAGATTAAAAGAATTGGGCAATTTTTGTTAAAAAACATCTTGCTGGCAATATATTTTTTTTTTAATATATGTATACAACAAAGTGCAAACTTTTTCAAATTCAACATCAAAAGCACAATTAAAATTTAAAACTAATATTATGAACTAAATTTAGAATTTACAGAAAAACCTTACAAATTTAGGATTAAAAAAAAAAACTTACAAATTTAGAATTTACAAATAATTACAACTTACATAATAAATTTAACACTTTAACATTTAATCCAATAATGATAAAAATATACAATCATATATTATACATATAAAACTAATGATAAAAACTATATTCAATTATTTTTTATGTAGAGAAATGTCATTATACACTATAAAATTAATGATAAAAATATATGCAATTATATATTATACATTTAAAATAAATAAAAATTATATATTAATTAAGCCGATTCTTCCGGTTCGACCACCAATGAACCATTGAACTAGTAGATTCACCGGTTCGATGATCGGTTCGGTTTTCAAAACTTTGGTTATAATATAATTCAATTTAAGTGATCTACTAAAGTTACAATTTTAATAAAAGAGAGTATAAAATCATTATGGATTTAAAAGTGTAGATATCATTATGGGATTTTTTATTTGTTGAGGGACCAAACTGAAAATCAATAACTCTTATTAATTTGCTTATGGCTCCAAACGACGAAAATGTACGAGCAGATTTCTGAAGAGGTGTTTTCTCCATTTGAAAGCACCATCATTTTCACTTCAAAAACATGTGAGTGAATGATTAAAAAATATTCGAGTGAATGAATAATGAATTAAAGTTGATATGATAAATGACTATAATTGATGTGTATTATGTAATATATTTGTAATATTGAAAAGAGTTGAGTTGAGTTGAATTTGAATATGATTTTAAGTTAAAAACGGTAAAAAATTATCTAATCGATCAAAACCAGTTATAATATATAGTCAATCGCCCCCTAAGTTGTGCCTTAGTTTTTATAATTGATAGTTCAATGTCTATTGGAGATGTTAAATGAAACGTGTCGTTCGTCATCTCGACCCAACGTGCTATGGCTTAAACTCGGAAAGAGTAGAGTTGGACTCCATTTAACTATTGATTTCGTTAATAAATTATTGAGTTCGGCTAATTAATATTAACAAACTAACATGTTTAGTTAATGAGTTATCGACTTGTATAAAAAAAACTCTAGTTAAGTTATTGTAGATTTGAGATAATTATGTATAATAATGCTATCATTTGCAGACATGCTATGAAAAGCAACTATGCACGCTTTATAAAATCGTTGTTCACCACTCGTCACTTTATCCAGGGTGAAATAAAAGGCGTGTCATTTAGATTTTACAATACGCTCCAAAATCCCGAGTCAGCATATCTGTGCAGGGAAAACAACGGTGATGGGAGTGACGGAGGAGCTTCGATGGGCCGCCGCGAAACTAGCGAGCTTGGGCAGACTGGCGGTGGACCTCGCCGTGAGTGAATCCCTCAAAGGTCTCAATTTTCACCCTAATTTTGCTAATGCGCGTGTGTTTAGATAAATTTTACAGTAAAAAGATCAGAACTAATTTGATTTCTATTTGTGCGAAAATAAAAGTATCTACGAAGAATGAATTGCGGATTGTATAGCTAGTTTCTTGATCGTTATTTCGAATTTTAATCCCTTCTGTATTATTGAGCAAATTGGAAAATTTGCAAGTAAAAAATTTCACCTTTTCATGTCGAGCAGTGTAGAAATTGAATTTTTTAAAACTATTTATTATTGTTTGTTTGTCTCGTTCAACCCCTCAATTTTCATTGAGAATTCTAACATGTGAAATATTGGGATTTATTTCTTCAATGCCATTGTTGCTAGTGTTGTAATCGAAGCAAAACAAGCCGAGCTTTAGCATTTTGAGCTCATGTTCGATTTTGTTCTAATACTATTTGTGGTTTGTTCATTTGTTAATTATTCAAGCAAAATTTTGTGGTCGAGTTCGTTCGTCTAGTTATTCGTCAAAGTTCTTGTTTGATTAACTCAGAGATCAACTCGTTATAAACATTCGAGCTCAAGAATAAAAAGTTCTTTTAATAAAAAGATATCATACTTTAGGTTTTTTTATTAAAAATATCACATACACACACGTATATAATTTAACATTAAATTAATGTTCTTGTAGATTGTGAAGCATTCTCGAATGCACTTTTGTCGAATTCAAATGCGCGGAGATTTGGTTACTTTACATCTCCAATTACGCGCTTTTGTCGAATTCAAACGAGCGGATATTTGGTTTACCACCATCTGTAACTACATACCAAACTCTAAATTACAGCATGTTTTCTCGTCTTGCTTCTTCTGTTTGTTTGCAGGTGGAATGCAGGTGTACGCGATTGTGAAAGGAAAGCCGAAAAGTCAACCGCTGTCTGACAAATCTAACAGCAAAAACGAGAAAAATCTTGTTCTAGTGCAAGAAATGCAAGCCAAGCTGGGAAAAATGCGAGAAGATATGAACAACATAACGCAACAAAGTGAGGTTTCGGCTCTTAGAAAGAGTGAACAAGAACACCCAAAATCATCCTTTGATGACCCTCTCAAGAGCTTGATGCCTGAGCCAACTGGTCGGAAGAAAGATTTTCATTCGCTCACGTCTATAGAAAACACGGACAAGGAATATGGATCATAGTATATTGTCACTGAAAATCATGCGCTTATAATGTTCGTGACGTTAATATAGTTGTTTGTTGTTTTATAATGTGAAACATGTGTGTAGAATTATGAAAAAACAATGTACAAGCATAGTGCAAAAATGGACCCATGCTGGATTTATAAGTTGCTTGGTAAGGATAACTGTTCAAACATGTACCAAAATCCAGTTTCTATTTCACAAATGTACCATTCTAATAAGTACAAACTCAGGCTCAAAAGTTGCAAACAAAGCGAAAAAGTTCATAACCCATCGAACTCCAGCTTTTTCACAGAGAGCATACCACAAAATATTCACAGGACTTGATCACTTGATGCAGTTAGGTTGCTGATGTGGCACCATTCAACACGACAGTCCGAAATTTCAGCTTCCATGAAAGTCGAGAGTTTTCTGCGACATCGCAAATTCAGAAAAAAAAAAAACTAATAAATAAATAAAGGACAAACTTGAAGCTACAAATGAAACCAGCAAAAGTTTAACAAATTTGTTGCACATCAACATGCCTGCATCAGATATGAAGCCCTGCGAAAAGCAACTCCAACTCCTCGTCTTGTGAATTGGTCCTCTGTCAACACAAAGAAAACAATCAATTATAGAGATAACGTAGCTTTTTACAAATGTGAGTGTCAAAAGATGATCAAAAACACATACTTAAGGCATAAAACAATAAGGTCCTGAACTCCTTACAAGAGCACATTTTTTACTTATGGAGTCAAACGAGAGAGGGAGAGATAGATTCAATTCGTCCTGACTGGAATCTAAAAGCCCATAACAGAGAATTTTGGGGAATGCTTTTAAGCAATACCATAACAATGTCTGTAACTTCTATGTAAACAAGTTCTCAGTAGACTTCTCTTCCTCCAAATGATCAACTCTGTGTAATTAAGGTTAATGAGAAAACCAACTCATGCTCAATGCCCAGAAGAGTCATGCAAGGCATCACAAAAGGAGAAAAACAAAAAATGTCGATCTTCTCCAAATAGGTCCCTAACGATTTCTAGTAGGATAAACTATGATAAAGATAAAAGCTACGGATCACATTGGATGGAGTTCATTCTCACGTTCAATCCTGAAAATCAATGTCTAGTATTGGACACGATGAAGTAAAGTGAGATGAATTTATTTTTCTAAGTCGGCAAGAAACATCACTGGAAGTCTGGAATAAATCATCATAGAATCAAGCATGTTCGTACCACAGTCCCACCTTCTAAGTATAAAACTTCAAATATAAAGTCTGGGTTTCATACAAAGCCCTCTATTACCTAAAAGACCTGCATTCTTCATAAAGTCTTAAAAAAATGCCACGGAAAACCCTCTATTAGCTAAAGAAAACCCACATTAACATTCTCTATCTTTCGGAGCTACTAATAAATGCTAAAGGACTCGACCAAGTTCGAAAGGTTCAGAAAGGGCACTGCTCTGCAAGAAAATCAGCAATCAGAGAGCTTGAAAGCACTAATATATGAAAGCCCAAGACAGACAAACACACTGTCAAAGCTAAAAATTATAATCCTCTTCCATGCACCCTCTTAATCATATCAAATTACCACCAAAAAAGAAAAAGAACAAAAAAAAAAAAGAAAAACGCAGCCTCAAACAAGTACTCCGAACCTTCTTCACCATTAGGGGGAAAACAGAAAACCCAAAACCCTAACACTTTCACACCTAACCACCGATTACACTGACTAATTGCTAAATTAACAAGTAATAACAGCAATTCGATTCAACATTCCCACAAACGAACCTTGGCGAGCAGGAGCTGGTAAATTTTGTCCAGCAAACGCAGGCGATGAGCGGCGTAGCTGCTGTTCGGCGGCAACCGGCGCATCCTCTTCATCTCCTCCGCAATCGCCGCCTTTTTCTCCTCGTGCTTCGCCGTCTGCTTCCAGACGATCCCGGGTTTAGCGACCTCCGACCCGGATCCGGCGTACTCTGGCTCCATAGCTTGGCCCCACCCTTTCGTTGAGTAATCTCACACGGGAAGAAAAAACTGATCGTCTTCTGGAAATTTCCTCGGAAATGGGGATAGGACAAAGAAATGTTGAAGAATTTAACAGGCGATGGATTTATGTGGGGGCTTTATCGGAATTTGGGCCGATCCAAATGCTCGTCTTGACATTGGCCCTACGAAGTACGAATAAAATCCTACAGGCAAATTAGTAACAAAAAAAATATTATTTCAACGATACAAAATTCGGTATGGAATTAGAATAATATTTTTTTTTTCATGATCAAGAAGCAATTCTATATATTGATTATTTTTCATGTAATTCTTGTTGAATATGATCAATTGGAACTAAGATATGACGTAGCCTACCATAAATGAATTGAACCTCAGCGCCGAATATTTGCACAAACTAGTTTTACTTCATGCATTTGCACGAAAAATGATATAATAAAAAAAATGTAATTAAAAATATAGAATAAAATAAAAATTATAAATTAATAAATGAGAAAAAAAAAATTTAAAGACTTATTGTTAAACACTTCTTTATATATAACTTTCGTGGTTTTCTTATTGTCAAATTTTTCATCTCAACAAATCATTATCGTCAAACCTCTTCGACCTGTGACTCTGAGAGCCGCGACGCTGGCAGGCGGCAGACCTCGCAATGGATGCGCGGGAGCCCCTGCAGCGGCGTGGACAAGTCGCGGCGGTCAAGTGCCGACCCGCACTGCGTGCATCCCCGAGTCTCGTCGAACCCCTGCGCATGCGCCGCGTCGTCCGCGTTCGTTCCCTGCAGCCTCGAGGTGTGCCAGGTGATGCCCGTGTGTCCTCAGCTTGCGCTCAGCGACCTCGTATTGTGCCCAAGCATCGTCCAGCGGCCCGCATCCACACACGCGACCTGCCAGCACCCAGGTGAACCCCAGCCCGTGCCTGTCCGCACCCGCACGTGTCCAGCAGCCCTGGCTCGCCCCGAATGCCCGTGCCAGCCCGCACCTGTGCCGGTCCGATCGAAATCGATTTTTAATTTTCCGAGCCATTTGACCAATTTTCGAGTCTTTGACCTCGTTTTTCACGTAGATTTTATTTTTGACATTTTTAATTGATTTTTCCAAATTCTTCCTTAAAATCCGAGGGTTCCAAATTCCACGAGCTACTTAGTTGATAATTTTCGACTAAGTATGAATTCTCGTTTAATTTCTAATTTTTCAAAATAAGCACTTTTAAAATATTATCTTGATTAAATATTGATATTTGAGAAGTCGAGCCCTCTGCCAACCTTCGTCTGAACTTGTGTCTTCGCCTACGTCGACTAATCAGGTGAGTGTTAATAAACCTTATCGTATATGTTATTTGATATAATTGCTTGGCTTGATGATCAATGTATGCATGTGAACCGTTAGCCTATGAGAATGTATCTCCGTTGATGGGTTCCGACGTTCTCCTACTTTTGCCTATATAGAGTATTCTCCCGTTGATGGGGTTCCGACGGTTTAGCTCCCGTTGATGGGTTTCCGAGGGTTAGATGTGATCACATGAGCGTAGGGCTGTTTAGGAGCTAGACTAGACGATTTGTGTTCATGCTGCAATTATGATTTTAAGTCATTATATTGAATATGATATTCTCACAATGAGCATGTTGGTCGCTCACTCCCACTAGTTACAAGCTAGTCCTAACTCATTTAATATCTTTACAAGCTAGTCCTAAACCCAACATCAGCATTAATCATATTCAATTACTTAAAAATCTTTAACTGTATTTCTATCATCTGTTCAATATTTTGCTCTTTTTAATATTTGTTTACTGATGATTATACAATATGGTATTCGTTCTAAAAGATATAATTTTTTTCCTTATATTAGTTGAATACAATAAATTTTAATATATAACGAATATATTTATTATAAACATAGCTGAATATTAATGTTGATCTCCCTAACACCATTATTCCTATCAATCTCTTAACCACCTAACCCATATGGTGAAAGTCCAACTTCTAGCTGCTGGTGAATTTGCTTCTATTTATTTTATTGTCTACACTAACACCAATGTAATTTCTATTTAACAACTATACTTTATGGCCGGAATTAATATATTATTTCATAATCTATTTACGATTTCATTTTTCTTTATAATTAACGTGAAATGTTTTGTTCATCTGTTCATTTTACATTAATCTGCTTTGTGAAGATCTCCCAAAAAAAGAAAAAAAAAAAATTGTAAAACAATGTGAATAAATCAATAAACGTAAACAGTAATATAACAAAAGTCAAATCAGAAAAGAAAATCCCTTCTCGCATATATCTCTCCTTTTCTTCCATTTATTCTTCACGCAATTTCACAGCGCTGTTCAATCTGAATCACGAGGTCTTCGCAGGGAGGAAAGAGGGGAGACCCATAAGATCTCAGCCGTACGATTCCATTTCTCTCCTCCTTCTCCTCCCCTATCCGCTGCTAATCGGGTCGGAAAATTTTCACCATGAACGGGAAGGCGAACGTTTCGAAGGAGCTGAACGCCAAGCATCGGAAGGTTCTTTCGCAACTTCTCGTTGATTTTTGAGCTAATTTCGTTTATTTATTGTGGTTGATGGATTGTTTGTCGTTTCCTGATTTGGATTTGGATTTAAATTGGTTGGTTTGTTTGTTTTGTCTGTGTTTGTTATTTTGGGCGTCTGTTGCAGCTGGTGGTTGCAGGTTGTGAGTTGTTGAGAGAAGATGGNGTGAGCTTGTTGCTAGGTTAAAGGAAATATTGAAGTTGATTTAGTGAAGATGGATTGTTTTGGCAGATTGTTTTTTTAGTAGCATTATATTGAGAATTTATTGATATGAAGTGTTGATTTATGCTTCGGGAGCTGGAATATGAGATGTGATTGTTCACGGGGTAGATTCAATTCATCCAATTGGAGGGATGCTTATAATTTTGATTTTGGTTTTATCGAATACAGGAATTCAAACAATAATAATGCAATATGATAATTCGTTTAGGATTTGAGCACAAAGCGAATATTTTGAAACTGCTATACAAATAACAACGAAGAACTTGTTTTTCCCTTTGTTTAGTTTCTGTATCTGTATGTGAGTTGAAGTGATATTAAGATCTCTGTGTCTTCAGATTTTGGAAGGGCTTCTTAAATTGCCGGAGAATAGGGAATGCGCTGATTGCAAATGCAAGTATGTTTTTCAAATGACCTAATACTTCTTAACACTAGCTTGACTTCTTTTCGTTTTTCATGTGGATTTAGTCATAATTCCCCTTTTTTATGTGTTGTGTTCATATATTTGTTATTCTTTTGAAATGCAGAGGTCCTCGATGGGCTAGTGTGAACTTAGGCATATTTATATGCATGCAATGCTCTGGAATCCACAGAAGTCTTGGAGTGCACATCTCCAAGGTCTTCATCTTCTTCCACATTTATATTAGTCCGTTCTGGGTAACTCGGATTCGTAGATTTGAAACTGAATAATAATTCTTAATTATCTCGAAATTGGCCCTGCTAAAATTTTCTGGAACTGTTACATTATCCTTTTGCATTCACGAGAATAACTTGTTTTATGGTCTAGTTGTGTGGTTTTGAACACAGATATTAGAATGTATGTTGCATTTGTAACTATGCATGTCCTCTTACACCAGAATATTTGCAGATAGTCTATTATTATTTTTGACATGTCTGCACAATATTCTTAATCCCTAATGTTGTGTAGAAGTAAATAAAAAATTGAGTGTCTATCCTGATGTAATGACTTGCATATTTTATTACTTTGCAGGTTAGATCTGCTACACTTGACACGTGGCTTCCTGAACAGGTTACATTTATTCAATGTAAGAATATTTATTTCCCTGAACTCTTCAGATTAACTTAATCTGATATTCCAAAAATATAATTCTCTTTGTTGTTCGAATAGCCATGGGAAACGAGAAGGCGAACAGTTACTGGGAGGCAGAGCTTCCATCGAATTATGATAGAGTTGGGATTGAGAACTTTATCCGTGCAAAGTACGAGCTTCTTAATCCCCAAGGCCTTTTTTCGTGCAACCTTTTAGTCTTGTACCACACCTCGGATCTACAGGCTGTTTTACAACTCATCTTATAAATATTTTTTATGAAGGTATGACGAGAAGAGATGGACACCCAAGAATGGTCAGGCAGGATCACCTGCTAGGAGAATAGAAGAAACTGCTTCTGTCAATTTGCATCAACCACATGATAGAAATGATAATGGACAAGTCAGCAATTCTGGAAACCCTTCTGATGAGCGGAAGAGTGTCCGGAAACCAAGTTCAAAAACACCTAGTGCAAAGGGACATATTTCTGCTGCCACAATTAGCTTTCCTGCCCCCCTAAAAGGACCAGAACTGGTATACTCTGAATCACTTTTTTGTGCTAGTGCATGTGTGTGTTCTTATGCCTTTTAAATCAAGAAGTTGTCTGCCTACATACAGGCTTCTCCAGTTCCAGTCACTGAACAAGTGATTCTAGAAACAAAACCAGCTGTGCCGAATGAAACTTTCAAGCCAGCTGCAGAAACTTTATCTCCCCCAAAAGTTGATTATGCTACTGATCTTTTCAATATGCTTTCTATGGATGATTCTGTTGAAAACACTACCAATGTATCTGGGGATGATAACACATGGGCAGGATTTCAGGGTATGTGTACAGTGCTTTTGTTCAACTTTATCCATGAGTTTTCTTCTTTCTTCTAGTTATCCGTTTTCTTTGGGTGTCAGATGTTGTGTATATTATCGTTTACATTCTGATCTTTTAATACTGTAAAATGATATTTGAATACTTACAGGTGCTGACGCATTGCCATCAACAGCAGAAAAGCCTGGGACAGCTAAGGGTGATGATAATAAAACTCCATCTGCTTCTGGAATTGAAGATCTTTTCAAGGATTCAGATCCAATTGCGCCTAGTTCCATGTCAGGGAAACCTCAAAAGGATTTGAAAAATGACATCATGTCTCTCTTTGAGAAGGTATATTTTGTGATCCAGCAGTATCCTTTCTCCCAACTTGTTGAATCATATGTGAAAATTCTGCAAATCCACTATAAGAGAAAGGATATCTCTTACTTACCTGCTTCATCGATGGGTACACATTTTCCTGCAGTTGCATGGTTGGGAATGAATCTGTTTGTCCTGATTAGTTTCAGCAAAATGCACTCCCATTAAGTTTTCATTTGTGATTAAGCTGTTATTGCTGCTTTTAGCAGTCTTCTAAATCTGATCCATTAATAATCATATTTGTTCATTATCTTTGCAGTCCAACATGGTCTCACCATTCGCTCTCCACCAACAACAAATTGCCATGCTAGCACATCAACAGTCAGTTCTTATGGCTGCTGCAGCTGGTGCTTCTGGTGGGACCGCCAAAGCTCCTGCCAACACACAACAAGGGCTGAATGGAACCAACTTGCCACATCAAAGTTGGCCTAATTCTGCTTACCAGTTCCCTGGCATGATGATGCCAATAGCTGGAAAAATTGATCTAGAGAAATATATGCAGGTAGGGCAGATTGTTATGTGATGATGCCCTTTGTTATCGACGGTATGAAATTATAAATCGTCTCAAATTTTGCAAATTTTGCTTATGAGACAGATGCTAAATGGGGGAGCAGCTCAACCGGGTGGTAACTCTTTTGCATTACCGATGTCTAGGTATGTGCTTGAAACTTTCTGAATCGTACTCCTATCTTGAACCTTTTTCTGCGGAAGTATTGAACAGGGCACTTACTTTTGCATCAACTAGATTTATCGACACTGCATGTAGTTGTCTCTCTACTACAGTCTACTGGAAAATGTACTTGTCTATAGGATTATTATTAGAAATGATTTATGCATCTCTCTTTTGGGTAACGCGACTTTTGACGATATTATAATACGGCTTTCTGATGGAGACATCTAACAGTTCATTTTTCATTAGCTATAGCATGCTTAGTTGTTTGTTGTATTTTTAAGGGAGGATGACTGGATGGCAGAACATTGAGTGTTCTTTTCTTTCCTCAGTTTTTGAGTAACAATTTACATTAGAATAAACTGAGGAGCCTCATGTGGTGCATTTTCACACATTTTTCCTTTAAAAAAAGAAAGAAAAGAAAGGTAAAGAAAAGGCAAAGGGCAGTTATATACCTATGCTCCAAATTCTGATAAGGCTTCTATTTATTTTCTCTCGTTTTCATTTTATACAATGTCGAAACAAGTCATTTGTCACTGTCGAATCCACAACATCTTCAACATCACTTTTCGTGTCAATATCGATCCTGGTTATATTTCATATTTGTGTTTCAGCACAAACGCGGTGGGAGCTAATGTGCCTAAAAATACCAAAACACCCTCAGGAAACAGCAAACAATCAGTGGCCGCATCTGTTTCATCAGGTTCTCTTCAGTCGGGAAAAGAGTACGATTTTTCCTCTCTGACACAAGCTTTTTTCTCAAAACACTGAGTTTTATTATTTATGTTCTTCTGTTTCCATCATAGCGCACAAAGTTGTGTTTTTCATTTGTTAGGTGTGTCCGACATACAAATTTATGTGGCATGAAATATTCTTTTTTTCTGCTCCACTCTATTTGTTTCATGAATTCTTATATTAAAGTAGATTACATCTATTCATGTACACAATAAATCAGTTCTTGTTGTAGACGTCGGATGGATTTCACTTTGTAATGTGGACCGGCGGTCACTTGATTCTTTTAGTTTTGTATTTGTTTATCTTACTTTTTGTAAGATTCAAGTTTCATATTTTGAGGATCTCAACAATACACATTTCATAGCATAAGTATTTATATTTGTTAATAAAAGTATGGCAGGTCGACATAACTAAAGGTTCCTTTAGACTAACTCATACAAGAATTTGAGTAAAAATTTTAACGACAATGGTTAGGCTTAGGAAAGGTCTTGTAGTTAGGTAACTATTGATTTAACCTAATTAAGTGTAAAAAAAATGCCATGAAAAGGCTTAGGAAAGGTCTTGTAGTTAAGTAGTAATGATCTAACATAATTAATTGTAAAAAATTGCCATGCAAAGGTTGCCCTATGTTGTAACTTGTAAGAAAAAAGGCCATGAAAAAGCTTAGGAAAGGTCTTGTAGTTAGGTAAGTATTGATCTAACATAATTAAGTGTAAGAAAAAGGCCATGAAAATGCTGCCCTTTGTTACTTGTAAGAAAAATGTTTGAAAGAATTGCTCGTAATGGAAAAATAGGTAATGACTTGTCAGGAGCGTATTGGGTGGACGGCTCCTAATGTCGGTTTATTATAACGCACTCTGAGTATGACCTTTGCATACTCAGACAAATATTGACTTGTTAGTTGTTCAAACTTCAAGACTTGGAGGTTTACATCTCTGAAAAACTGTATTTATATTTTATTTTTAATTTTTAAATTGCAATCGGACCTCGAGGGATGTTTTTGTAAATTACTAAATTTCAGAGTTTTTTGGGTTTATTTCCACAATTTGCCAAAAAAAAAGAAAGAAAAATGTTTTTGCTCCCCTTCAATTTCCGTAATGATAAGAGGCTAATAGCAATGTGGTTATAGAGGGTTCGACCCTACTGGTAACTGCATTCCAATTATTGGATTTGTTACCGTTGAATCATCACTGTATTTGTTGTAGATGAAACAGAGCCAATGATCCCCCACCTAATGATAATGTTCTTGTTTTGGAACACTTATGTAAAAATCTATTTCTTAAATAGACTTGTGGAAATTGATTTTCCCAAAAGTTCTAATCACTTGGAAAAAGACAACTTATCCGTAATTTCATTCTTAATTTACCTCCAAATATAGTTTATTTATCCAAATGAACTTGGTACGTAAAAGTAGTATTTCAAACAAGCTAAATATTTGTGCATACGTTTTCAACACTCAACCCCATTGGACGCTACACGGCACTTTTAAGGTTAGGTAATACTGAATTTCGTTGTCTAATTATTTTGGTTATAACTTTTAGGTAGTTGTTGAACTGTATATATTGATAAGCTTCTTTTAGCTTCGGTAGAATCTTGAGCTCGGCTAGGTACTTTTAGATAGTTGGAAAACAGTGACATTAGTATAAATAACAAGTTATTAGTGCTAAGCATACAGATCAAACAAAGTAGCCTTTAATTGAACGTAACTAAAAAGGCTTCAACAAGTTTGAATAATATTATATTCAACTCTACTAGTATGATTTGAATTTCATCCTTTGTTGGCCTGGAAAGAGTGCACGGCATTTTAACTTTAAAATATTTTGTGTTAGTTTTATCAAATCCATTATTATGAAATCATAATTTGTTCCACTTATTACCACATGGTATTCGCTCACGTTGTTTTAGTCCCCACCAGCGGCATTTATTCATTATTTTAGTTAAAACATAGGATTATCATCAACATGAACAATAAATTTCCAAGGCGTTGTCTCTACTTTCTGCCATTTCAATATATATATATAATTACTGGCTAATAACATTTAAGAAAATCTATTAAATTTTACCTATGTGGCAAAATAACATTTTTCCTCCAAAAATCGTTACTTTTGATTTATTTAACCGTTCTTTTAATTATTAGATAATCAACACACTAATCACTTTAAAATTACAAAAATTTATTTTAAACTTATGATTACTGACAATTGACTATATAATGTGTTGATCGGATAATGTAATTAGATGTTATTATTGTAGTTACATTTAAATTAATTTTTTTAAAAGATAAAAAACGTATTTGAAATTATTAAATAAATAATAAAATAAATCACAAAAAACATGCATACCAAAATATACATTACATCCAATCTGATAAACGCAATTTAAAAAAATAAACATTTCAGCTCTTGTAATTGTAAATTTGGGCGCAAAAAAGTGAAGAAAAATCATTAACCATTATATGCATACAAATAACTCACAATACTTTATTTACATATGTGCAAATGCACAGGGTCCAATACTAATAAATGTCAACTCTGATCGAAGTTTCAGAATAATGAAACAAGACGATTTAATTATTTTTAACGGTATCAAAATGAAAATCTTCCATTACAATTTACTTTCTTAATTTATGCTACTTGTGATTTCTTTTAGAATGATTTTAAAAATAGATGTTTGGTTAAATATTTTTAGATATCTATACTTATATTAAAAGGTATACCATTTACCACATTTAGTATAAAGAAAAGCCAACAACATTTATTGCATTACTATTTCTGTATTATACAATCTATACTTATATAAAAGAAGATTTTATTTACTACATTTACTATCCAGAAAAGTCAACTGCATTAAATGTCATTACTATTTTGGGATTATAATATTTTATTTATTTAATTGATTTATTTATTTGTTTTATTTTAAAAAGGTAAATATAATAAAAAAAATTAATAATAAAAAAATCAAATACCAAATAAAAATGTACACTTTGACTTATTTGATTATATTTGGTATTTGATTATACCAAATATATTCTTATTTAGTATATACATTAATTATTTACTAAAGTATTTATTTGTTTTATTTGTCAAAGTTAAGTATAGATTTGTTTATATTATCAAATCATAAAAAAATATTAAATTCATATTGTAAAAAAAAAGTCATATAATTTTATAACAATTCTACTACACTATTTAACAATATTTCTTTTTTATTACATAATAAAATAATAATTAAATATTATATGGTGAACAACAATAAGTAAAACTGTTACTTTCTCTTATATCAAGGGATAAATTTATATGCTAAAATTAAATTTTTATTAGTATAAATGTTTTAGTGAGATAATATATTAATTATTTTACAAGCTAGTCCTAATATGATCATATTTAATGTTTTAATAGATGTAGAAAAAAAACTTATAATAACTCTACTGTTTTTTAGACTTAAACGTTGATTAAAAGAGGTAAAAGTTCTTAATTTTTTAGACTTAAACGTTGATTAACACCATAGATTGAGAATATATATTTAGTAAAATTCTTTATTGTAATAAAAAAAATTAATTTTTGCTATATTTTAGAATATCTTTAAATTCATTATAAAAAAAAAAAAGAAAAAAAACTACAATGAAAAAAGCAAGTCAGCTATATATCAATTTGTTGTACTTCTCAAATCACATTCACAATTTGGCTACAAGGAAAGGAAACTCATTGATTAAAATATTATTTTATCAGTAGTCTTAATGTACAAGAGATTTTAAGACTTCACTTGAATATTATAAATCTTTTATTAAACATTGTACAATTTTCTTGCGTATTATAAACATTTATTGAATATTGCATCTTATAATATAATATTCTCCAAATAAATATATCTCGTGCTTCGCACGGGTCACGTACTATATTTATATCCCATACATTTTTTTATTCATGATATAATTATAAGTCTGGATAAATAGCCTTAAAATTGTGCACCCCGTGCATCTCACGGGCTATATACTAGTAAATACTAAATAGGCATCTTATAAATTCCATTTTATTTTAATGTACCTTTTTTCACAGACTCAGTTAACTGGAGTGGACCTAACGTATAAAAAATTAGTTACATGGAATAATATTGGTGAGTCAAACAATCACAAAATATATATCAATTTACAATTAAACGATAATTGAGTCTATAGTTTATTCGTTTAGGTTATTTTTGACGTTTTGAGATTTTAAGAAATTTTAAATTTTAAAAGTTTGAAGGCATTCATATTTTTTTTTAAATATACGAGGCTTTTAATTTATTTATCAAGGAATTTATTTGAATCTCTTAAAAACTTATTACGATTTTAAAAAACATGATACACATACGAAAATGCTATCCCAAATTCGAACTATAAACTTAAGATTTACAAGAAGTTTGGTAAAATAAAAAAATTGTTGCTATTTTGTAAAGATATATCGTATTTTACTATATTGATACGAGGAAATCTTTAATTTTAATTAGGATATATAAAAAAATAAAGAAATAAAGGAACCAAAAAAAAAAAGAGTTCGCCTTAATTACACACATATCATCATAACTCATCCAGTAGGCCAGTAAGGTCGGTGGGTTAGTTCAAGGATTGAGCTGTGATGTCACGTGCAACCATTCATGGGCAAGTGGCCGATCCTATATCCGCGCCCCCGTATGTAACGGTCAGATTGTTGGATATCCGTTGAAAAAGTGCTTACTCATTTTTTCTTAAAGCTTTAATAATTGACTAATTATTCAATTATTACTACTAATTAATTAAGTAATTAACACTGTTTTGCTTTATTAAAATCCACAAATTCGTTGTGTGTTCCACATACCCAAAGTAGAATTTTTTTTTCTCTCTTTTTAAAAATGAAGTTTATAGTGTTCCTACTTTCAGTTGTCGGTGACTTTGAACCCATAAATTATCGGTTATAGGATGAAACGTTTTACCACTCAAGCTGCGGTTCATTGTCTGTAAGTCTGGACGAAGATTTCTTCTTCAACACTGCAGTTTTTTTATGACAGAAATAATGTGATATTTGATTATTTGATTTTTTTTTTAATTATCACAAAACAATTGCAAATTGCACAAGAGTACAATGTTATTTCCAATGATGAGTGACGAGTCTAGAAAAGATTGGCAACTTTATCAACAGTAATGCTAAGAAGCTAACTGTTGGCTCCGTTATGGAGCCAACAGTCAATGGAACAGCTTCATGTGGGACTGTTCCACATGATTCCAACGTGGAACAACACCACATGGAGCTGTTCCATTGGCTGTTGGCTCCATAACGGAGCCATTGACTCCTTAGCATTATTTGTACAGTTTGTAACAAGGAAAATGTTTTCGAGGAGATAGAGATTGACCACCGCGGTCATCTTACGTGCACAGGCTACGTGTCTTCATATTAGAAAGTCACCGTGCCAGCAAGGCGGCCACAGCAAAAAAATTGCTCCACTGATTTTACGTTTTCACCCCTGCACTTAACGTTAAATTGCCATCTTCCCCAACCAGCATAAAAAGGGGCAAATCCCGCAGAGGCCACAGTATCTGCTTTTCACACCTTCATTTAAAAATTATATTCCGATAACAACCCGAAAAAAGAAATCGCCGATGAGATATCAATCGCCTACCAGCGCCATGTCATCCTTCAAAGTCGTGCTGATATCCACCAGCGTTTTATCCGCGGCGATCGCGCTGAAAGTCTCGGCTCCGGCCATCGCGGATCTCGCCGAGTGCCTGCCGTCGCTCTACAACGGCGTCGTTTCGTGGCTGAGGCCGCCATACCTATACCTCGTCATCAATTTCATCATCATCACCATCGTCGCCTCCTCCAAGCTCCAGTCGGGGAAAGACGACGGTGCGCCGCCGTCGGACGATGCGAGCGCCGTGGCTCAGCCGCAGCCGCAGCCAGTGGCCGCCAAAAGTGTTCCGGCGGACTATATGACGGAGGAGTACAAATACGACGGCGGAACGCCGAGCGAATCGAGCGGTTACAAGGTGGAGCAGGGGAAAGGATCGGAGCTCGAACCGCTCGATAGCGCGGATGCGAGCGGCGGACTGCCGCCGTCATCGGCCGATGGCGATGAGTCTTCTAGGGACGCGTTGAGCAACAAGGAGAACGAGTTCGTGATCGCGAAGTCCACGTGGGGAGTCATTCCCGAGAACAGAGGCTCGTCGGAAAATTCTCCATCGAAGCCACCGGTTTCTGCGAGGTTCGGCCACCGGAGAAGTGTTAAAGCCAGCCCCGAAGGTATGAGCTCTATATCTTATCGATTAAATTTGTTGATCAACCAACGTAGCTTTCACTCGCCGGAAATATGAGGTGGGAGAGACTACGGAAGTTATTCGCCGGAGAGTAAGAGGAAAAAAATTAAAAATTAAAAAGTACATATCGAAATTCGTGAACTAGGGTAGCTAGCTGGCGAAAATGTTACCGTTGGAGGTGTGGTAGACGCCAATCTAATGTGTGTCGGTTCACGAATTAAGCGTGTACCCACAGTAGGATACTTAAGGTTAAAGGGGTCGGATTTTTTTAAGCCCGTTGTTAATGTGGTAGACGCCAATCTAATGTGTGTCGGTTCACGAATTAAGCGTGTACCCACATGTAAGTGGGCCCATTACGGCCGTAACAATAAAGCTGGTCGAGTCCATTGGTAGACTCACCTACTGGGCCTTGTCAGATTTGAATGTCCAAAATGCCCTGGAAAGCGGTCTGTTTTGGAGAAACCAACAGATCTAGAAGTGTGGGCCTAACGCCCTCTTAAGCTATTGGACCATTGGTGCGGCCGCCAGAATTTGAAACGATAAGCCCAATCCGTTTCTCGATTGACATTATTTTTGATAAATTATTATACTTTATTATTTGCTATTGTAGAATTTTTGTTCAATATTTGTCCATCCTTATCCGTATCATTTGGAGCAAATTAGGGTTTANCGTTTTGTTAATAGGTTGTTTGGAAACACTTTTCAAGATAAATTGTTTATTCAAAAAGACTACTCTACACAATTAAAATTAAAATGATGACGACTTTTGGAGAAGTCTATTTTGCATTTAAAAAGTGAGATTTTTTCAAGAGTGCTCCCAAATAAACATTTATCACTTGTCCCATGTTTGGAGCTGGCAAGGGTTTTACCATTTCATTGCACTACACATGATTTTTACCATATCATGTGGGCGTCGTTTTTTAACCGTCTGATCCATGCATACGGCTACAAAATGTTAGTGTATGATTGAACTGTTAAAACCATGGAAGTTGGGTCAAATTGCTGATGGAAGACAACATGTCTAACCGTTAGGTAGTCATACTTTTTGAACAGATATACATACATATTATTGAATTGCAATAGCATAGTAGCATACTTTAAAAATACATCTACAAAATGCGAGCGAGTCTGGTTGAATTGTTAAAACCATGGAGGTCAGGTCTAATTGTTACATAATCAAACTATTAGAACATAAATATATATATATATATATATACACATACATATTATTAAACTTCAATAGCATACTCTAAACATAACATAAAATAAACGTATGACATTATATCATTTGCTGGTGGTTACTATAATTTCTCGTCATTAGGCGTGAAGACGGTGTTGGGTGTGTCTCGGCCCAAAAGGCAGGACACGCTGGAGAGCACGTGGCGGACAATAACCGAGGGGCGGCCCATCCCCATAACCCGACACCTCAAGAAATCCGACACTTGGGAGCGCGACAACCGGCTGCAGGAGAAGACTCCACCGCCAAAGACGATGAAGAAAGCCGAGACCTTCACTGACCGGACCAACAGTCGTCGGAGCCCGTCCTCCGGCAAGCTCCGGAGAGAGGCTTCCCCGAGTCAGGATGAGCTGAACCGGCGAGTCGAGGCTTTCATCAAGAAGTTCAATGAGGATATGAGGCTGCAGAGACAAGAATCGCTCAACCAGTACATGGAGATGGTCAACCGTGAGGCCCACTAGAGTGGGATTTTTTTTTGAAGCAAATGGGTTTTTGAATTTTGGTGTTATTTTATGGTGTAGGAAAAAGTGAGCTCGATAGATATGAAACTGGATTACGGAAAAATAGGGAAATTCTCTCTTCTCTATAGAGTGTTCAAATGTTTTTTCTTGCAAATTCTTGGTTCATCTTGTCTCTATTTGTTCNAAAAAAAAAATTACTTATTTGCAGACTGTGTGTAGCTATCTATTGATTTTTCTTGGTGTATTAAATGCTGTGGAGAAACTTTCTTGAACACCAAAAGGTCCACAATATACAACAAACAGAGCCTCGAGTTAACTATCTTTAAACATATTCACTAATCAAGTAAATTAACATTGAATGTAGTTACCCAAAAGAAATTATAATCAAGTAAATGATTTCAACTACCAGACATTGAGCATCAAGTAATATGAATTCAATTACCATAGACAAAAAATGTTGCTCATTGACCATTGTATACAGTGTAAGACTTCTATGAATAGAAGATAAGCTAACTGAACCATTGCTCATTGACCATTGTATACAGTGTAAGACTTCTATGAATAGAAGATAAGCTAACTGAATCAATCATAAAGATGTTTAGCAGACTTAGTTCTCAGGGTTTTGGTCTCGGATTTCGAGTTCTTCTCCACTCTTTTCTCACTCTTAGCTATGGCTCTAGCTACGGCTTTCATCTTACGCGCGTTCTGAGATCTCTTCATGGGTCTCCCCTTTTTGGTCTTCCTGCATTTTTTGATAATAATTCAATGTTAAGATACTTTCCATGCGAGCGGTCGCATACATGTATTCATCAAAGATTCTACACATGCCCAGGAAAATTCCACTTTCTTCAGCACAACAAATATTAGGAAGGTATCTTTCAAGTAATTATCTTCAACCGGGGAATAATAAACACGTAAATAGGAGATGATGGTGATGCCATTTTATTATCATAAGTATATCAAAGCAATGTTCCTTTTAGAAAAAACACAAGTAATGCAGTGAAAAATCTAGCAGGTGATGAGAATGTGCCAGTCAAAGGTTTATGTAAGCGGGTTCTGTAAAATTATGATTGGAACACATTGCATTACCTAATAAGGAACCAGACTATCAGAAACACACTTCAAAATATCGATTTCAGTAAAACCAGCACATCCTTGGACAAAAGTTTATGCCTTTAGCACAAAACTCACTTCAAGCACACAAATTACAGAACACAAGTTACACACAAAAATTGAACCTCTAACAATTTAGATTCTTTTCACCCTTGAGGCGGAAACTTACACATCTACGCATCTATGCATTATAAGCTTAAAAACATTTGCACTGATTTTCTAGCAAATTTTTATCCACACCTAGTAATCCCTTCCTCAAATTGAAGTATTCCAAACAACAATATTCGACAATTATATGCAACAATTAATGCAGTTTATTAAAAAATATCCCACTAAAAAACTAATATATAACAACATAATTAGGCAAAAATGCAAAACAACTGCTGACCTGAGAGCTCCGGCAACAGAAGCAACGGAAGCCGCCGTCTCCGACGTGTCCATGGCTGAAGAAATAATAAAGGTTTCAGAAACTAAAACAAGTTTCGATTTTGCTGTTTACAAAACCGGAATACGAAAAAACTGATATAAAACGAAAAATGCGCATTAAAATCGGAAAAAAATTAACCGAAGTATAACAAAGGGCTCGAACCTTGAGCTTCGTCCGTCGCGGTATGCTCGGCGGCGGCGACATCCACGGCCATCTCATTTGATGCGTTTTTCTTCTTCTTGTTCCTGTTCTTCGCCATGATGAAATTCGAGGTTTTTTTAGGGTTTTTTTTTTCCTCTTTTGCGTTCTGAATTCTGATTACAATATTTCAAAGCCCTATCAATAAATTTGACATATTTCGTGTTGGGCCCTTGCGTGGTTTTGGACTTTTACGTTAGTCTATTGGGCCCAAATTAAACAAGTTGGGTCTGCATCTATAATATGGACAAGTGGAACTAGGAATAACTTTTTAGTTTTTATGGGCTTTGTTTAGTTTAAGCTTGTATCGAGTTTGATGACTGCTGGTAACTGGCTGTTTATAATTCTTGATAATTGATAGTTGATTTTTAAAGTTGCCATGTGAAATAGCTATCTCAAATATTTGATTAAAAACTTGTTTTATTAATATGGACATAATTTGAGGATATGTTATAATATACAAAAAGTTCAAGAAAAATAGTGTTATTTTGCTGTTTTTTTAAATGTTATTATTCAGAAAATGAGATAATGCATAAATACATAAAAAACTGCCTCTGTTTTATTAGCTAGCTTTTTCTCTAACTTGCTTTTTTAATCAGCCATTAAGAGATAATTGTCAACCTTTGTTTTTNCAATTATATGGCTAAATGAGGGCTAATTAGCCCCGATTCACTCTATGTCAATATATATAGTGAGATAATAATGGATTTGGTACATTACAAGAGGACATGGATGAGTGTTAACAAAACTCCTTAAAAAACACATGCAAACTCATTCGAGCCTCGAGTTTGCTTAGTTAACGAATCGAAGCTATGTTTTATTTCATGTATATTTTTGTAATATGACTCATTATAATTTAAATTCAACTTGTTAATATTGATAAATAAGTCGAAACTCAAGTTTAAATATCGGTTCTTTAGTTAACAAGTCGAATTCAATTCAACTTGGATCAGCTCGGCTCTAGCCCGAACTCAAGTAGTGGGATTTCGAATTCGACTCATTTTCCTTTTTTTTTTTCAGTAATTATAAATGTCTTAACCCTTAAAATATAATTGTAAGATATGTATTTGACCATCAAGACAAACGCTAACATGAAGAATATTTGGACATATGATTAGGATTAGGTGGGAGTAGGTACACCGTACGATCGCAGGGCCCCAATTGTACGGATTGATGTCGGAATCTGTATGTCCTTAACCGTTATTACTTATCCGATTGAGTTAGGTAATCACTTAAATTAGTCCCTCATAGTATGACATTATAATATTCATTTTATTACTCTATATTACACGCGTGGTTATACGAGTGCTAGATAAAAAAATTATATTGAAATTCTTAATATAAGATTTAAAACATATTTTTTATTTAAAGTTTAACTATCTTTTTAAAGATACTTTACAATTTATATTTAAAATGAAAATTTTCACTTATATATTTGTCCAATTATTTTATAATATTTTTCTAATTTATACGTACGAAATTATGTATGACTTTATGAATTAATGATATATGATTTTATTAATTCTTAATATTAATAGATGATTTAATTATAATAAAATAAATTATTTATTTATTTTATATATGCAGTATGAATATCAAATTGAAGATCGACGAAAGACAATTATTTTGGTATATTATATATGAAAATCTAAAATAAATACAAAAGCTATATTTTTAAATATATTTACAATTTATGTTAGTCAAGTATTTCATTGTTTAAAAAGTTATAATAGGCATGTATAGAACTCCAAATCTACTATTGCTCCAAAAATCAAACGCGTAATCGAAATTCGACACATAGATTATGATATGGGATACCATACCTGGAAGAGCAAACCCAATGAACCGTCCAACTAAGTCGAATGAACCGGTTGGTCGAAGCAGAGCATTAGGGAGGTCGAGCGCAGACAAAGAGTCTTCCAGTTGAAAGGAGCGAGAGGAGTTCCAAGGGATGACGCCAGGTCGAGTTAGGTCCTCGGGTGGCCAGTTGGAAACTCGACATGTTGGCAGGTTTATTGTGGGATCAACCATAAAGGACAAACACTTCGGTTCAAAACATGCAGCACTCTACCTCAGCATATCTCGAGCTGGTCACACCATTAGGCAGTCTAAGGGGTTAAGAGCCACACGATGATAGGGCCATGTGGCCTAACAGAATTGGACAGTTAGGGCAGATCAAACAGACTGGACAACTCGGTTAGTACTATCGGCAATTTGGGCAGCCCATTCGAGCAGTCTTGGGCAACAAGGTAACATCTCCTTATATAATGGGGGTGATGTATACCCCTTCACACATAATTACACTATTTACATACATTTGTATACTGCACTTTATCTTCTACAAGTGTTAACTTAAGGCATCAGAGACTCTTCACCAAAAAACTCCTCCGGTATGAGAGTTTTTGCAAGTCTAAAAGCGTTCAACAGACGAAGAGCTCGAGATCAGACCGATTCCAACTGATCAGAGGTCTTTCGAGTACTAGATTATAAAGCACTAAAAATCGAAATTGTATGATTGAACATTCAACAAGTAAATTACGAAGTACCACAAATCGACACTAATTAAGATCAAGATATACTGCATTAATATATAGATAGAGATATACATGTAATAAAATACTACATTTCTGTGCTAGCACACTTTTTCTTTTTCATTTTATTTTTATAGTATAATGTAATTTTGTGTTTTTATTTTATATTTTCTACATTAATGGTTAATGTAAAAATATATTCGAATTAATGTTTGAATTTTTTAAGATTGATGATAAAGGATTCATTTTCACACATGAGATATCATTAATGATTAATCTTTTTCTTATGCAAACCACATTTCTCTGCATGCTCGAATGTTTAGATTTTGGTAACAACAAGTCAACCATCATCTTATGCTAAAAGTATCAACAAGTCAACCATTATCTTATGCTTTTAGCACATTTTTATTAATATAAACACAAATCCATGTACTTTATGAACTCCTTTATTTACTCTCTATTCTCAACAGAGCAAAATTATTTAGCTATCAATTAATAGCGATAACAAATTATAATACAATTAGTAGTGAACTATATCGACAATATTATAATAAGTAATCGATAGATAAAAATAATTTGTATTAACATTTGTTTAGCTATTAACTATTAATGGATAAAAAATTATAATAACTAATTTGATTAATAGTGTACTATATCAACAAATTTTTAATAAGTATTTCATAAGTAACGGTATAACCGGTTTGGCTAACAAATTGCATGAGCAATTCATAATGAACTCTATTTTAAATATATTATTTGTATAATTAAATAAAATTATGTTATTAAAGTATCGCAACCCAAACGTTATTCTAATTGAGTTTTTTTAATTAGCTTGATGAGCTAAAAAACAAATAAACTAGTTCTTGAATATGGTCTATAAAATCTGCCATAAAAAAAATAATAAAATATGGTCAATATTTAAATGAAGTTCAATCGGTTGCAATGCAATTTCAAACACACATATATAACTACGCAAGTGTCCAAGTCGGTCAATTGACAAGACGTGCATAACTCCCAAATCCACATATTTTTTTTTTTCATTCTTTTATTAAACTGCTTTTCAATTCTCAACGGTTTTCATTCCCAAAAACCCATTTTCAAATTATCCATTGTTTTTCCCCTTTCAAATTCATCACCAACATTTCTAATAACTCCTCCTAAAATCCCCCCTAAAGCTTCTCCGCCAAAATAAAGACAAGCTTTTTACGCATTTGTCGTGTCTAATTCAGACAGTCAATCCGAGGTTCTCATCTCCTCCATTAATGCAACCTCTGCGAAGTTCATAAGCAATCGTTTTTCTTTTTCTTTCCTTTATTCCCCTCGAGAAGCGCCGGTTACATATATGCTCTGAGTTTAATTTTGCTCCCAATTTGGTTCCTCAATTTTCCACCAACATGGAAAATTTTGCGTTCGTTGAAGGGTGAATTTGATTTCTAAGGGGCCGACGAAAAGTTCGAGTCTTTAAGGTGAATTTGATTTTTAAGGGGCCCTCGAAAAGTTTGAGTTTTTTAGGGTGAATTTTGATTTCGAAGGAGCCCTCGAAAAAGTTGGAGTCTTTATGGTGAATTTGATTTCCAAGGGGCCTTCAAAAAAGTTCGAGTCTTTAGGATTTTTCCTTTTGCATTTAGGGTTCTAAGCTTCTAGCCTCAAATAGCAATGCAGTATTATATATTGTGTGGGTAGATTCTTGATTTTCATTTGAGGGTTTTGAGGTAAGAACACCCTCAGCAAAGAAAAAGCANGTTATCGATATCGCCTAATTCTATAGCCCGAAGCTCATTGGAGGAAATGCTCGAATCCCTCCGGCAAAGGGACGAAAATGAGAAGCCGAAGGACATCCCACCTGCTCTCCCTGCACGGCCCAAGCCCACCTCGCGGGCCCGCCTTCCTTCCGCCAAGCGGCCATTGCCCACGAGTTCTGGAGTTGAGGATTTTGGGCCGAGCCTCAAGGCATCGTTAAACGGTAATTTGAAGAAAGATGGCTCGAAAGGGACTGTTCGTAACAGTTTCGGGGCTAAAACGGTGAAGGGGATGGAACCAAGGGAATCACCGTATCTTAATTCGGTATCGGAAAAGAAAGTAGACGAGCAAAAGTTAGTTGGAAACGATGACGTGAAGCTTGCTTGCTCGACCAATGGGTGTTTCCCTAAGTTTAGGGAGTCTGAGTGGGATGACAATCTCGGGTATTTCATCAATAAGGTAGAGGAGAGAAAACGGTTCATTTTTCTTGTCTGAATGTTTTTGTGTTACTTTCGTTTTTTCTCTATCGTAGTCACGGGTCGAATGGAAGTTCTGTTGTTAGTTTATGTTGAAGAAATGAATATATGTCTACACATACTTTGTTTAATTTTCTTCGTTTGCATTATATTATACGACATGCTGGCAATGTGTTAAAAGGATAATCATAGAGAAACTATTTTTTTGGGGTTATTTTTCTCAATTTTATGTTAAAAAATGCTGGGTGTTTATGTTTTATTAGCATCTCATTTTATTTATTGAAATCTTTTTCGCTTGATGATGAATAGTAAAACTGTGTTTATATCTCTTATCTTAAATGTTTTCCAGAGACTTCGTGTATGGTGTCGGCCAAATAACGGCCCATGGGAATTAGGGCAGATACAATCAACTTCAGGGCAGAAGGCTTCCGTCTTGCTGTCGGGTGGAAATGTTAGTTCATATTTTTTGGTTTTATCTTATTAGTACTCAACTCTTTATCTTGATACTACAGAACTTAAGGTGGAGATTTTTTTACTTACTCTCTCTGTCATACTTACAGGTCGTGACAGTTCCCAAACAGAATCTCCTACCTGCCAATCCAGATATTCTTGAAGGGGTAGATGATCTTATAGAACTTAGTTACTTGAACGAGCCTTCAGTTCTTCACAATCTTCAGTATAGATATTCAAAAGACATATTATATGTAAGTCATGTTCAAGCGTTAGATATATGTTATGTATGGTTAACTCTAGCTGACAATGCTTTTGAGTAATTTTGTTGTTCCTGCTATTCCTAGAGTAAAGCAGGCCCTGTTTTAGTAGCAGTCAATCCTTTCAAAGACGTGTCGCTATATGGAAGTGACTTTATTACAGCTTATAGACAGAATCTTCTGGACAGCCCTCACGTGTATGCAGTTGCTGACAAAGCTTACAATGATATGATGACTGGTAAAACTGTCAGTCTCTGGATCCTTAACTGTTGACTTTCTCTCAGGCTGATGTGTTAAATCTCTTTTGTTTTTTCCTTTTTTTTTTCTGCGAATTTTGCAGATGAAATAAACCAGTCCATTATCATAAGGTTTGTTGCAGTGTTTTTGTCTCTTTATTTCATTTCTTTATTAATGCCCCGGTCATGGTTTTGTAAATGTCTATATATTAATATGTCTGGTGAAGAATATACTGTTATGGTTTCTAGTGGGGAAAGTGGTGCTGGGAAGACTGAAACAGCTAAGATTGCCATGCAATATTTGGCTGCACTTGGCGGAGGTGGTGGAGGAATAGAATCTGAGGTCCTCCAAACGAGCTGTGTTTTAGAGGCCTTTGGTAATGCTAAAACAGCCAGGAATGATAACTCCAGCCGATTTGTAAGTGTTTTCTGTCAAATCGTACGTTATCCTTTGGCAGTCAATTGCGTAAATTCTGTGGCTTAAGATGTTTCAAAATTGTTTGCAGGGAAAGTTGATCGAAATCCACTTTAGCGCTACTGGAAAAATATGTGGTGCTAAAATACAGACTTGTAAGCATATGCTTGTATTTGCTAAGTCGAATTTCCGGAAGATTAATATTTGTTAAATTGCTAACTGACTTTTCTCAACAATTTGTGCATATCAAACACCTATTCTTGAACCAATGGCATAGTCCTCCTTGAAAAGGTTAGTTTATTCATCTGAAATGATGTCGACTCTGATGCTCTAGTCTTTATCGTGTTTGTAAATTAACATTTTGGTGTAAAATATCTTAATGAATCAGTCAAGAGTTGTTCAGTTGGCCCAAGGAGAGAGGTCATACCACATTTTCTATCAGCTTTGTGCTGGGGCGTCTTCTGATCTCCGAGGTCTGTTTTTTTTTTTAAATATTTATTTTTATAATTGTTATTGTTGTTATTTTTATGATCACAATCATTATTATCTGAAGCTCATTGTACGTGAGAGACTTAAATGGTATTTGGGATGTGCCGCTTAATCTTGTGTAACATTCTTCTGTCTGTTCATGTAGTTTTAGCATGGAATGTGAGCAAAAAATATTAAGAACTTGTTTGTATTACTCGCCTTAATGATTTTCAGTCACAACTTCACAATCTGTTTTTCGTTTTAAATGAATAAATCCGTAGTCAGTGAAGCAATCTTTTATCAAATTGTTTGAATCTACTTTGATCCATGGCAGTATGATGAGCAGAACTTTCCTGTACTTATTCCTATTGTTTTGATAGATATGACTTTTTTTTTTCTCTTTCTTTTGCTTACCTCGTGGTTTCTTTGCATCTTTTCAGATAGGTTGAAGTTGAAAAGGGCTTCTGACTACAGTTATCTAAATCAAAGTGATTGCTTGGAAATCCACGAAGTTGACGATGCTCACAAGTTTCATATGCTTATGGTAACGTCCTATAATTTTCCGATTGACTATTCCATTAAAGAGGTTTTCTTATATTATTTTTTTTTTCTTTTTTTTCAGGAAGCCTTAAATACCATCAGAATCAGCAAAGACGATCAGGAACATGCCTTTGAGATGCTTGCTGCAGTATTGTGGCTGGGAAATATAGAATTTCGTGTTGTTGATAATGAAAACCACGTGGAGGTCATTGATGATGAAGGTAGCTATTTGTTATTATAATATTTGAGACAATTTATGATAATCTTTATATTAAGAACATTTGAGTGCTAAGTTAAGTTAGAATTGTTCTAGCTTAATTTATGCCTGAGTGCTTTTACTCTTGACTATTGTCATAATTCCCATTAATTTTATTTACAGCTGTTATCAATGCTGCTGGCTTGCTTGGCTGTGCTACTCATGAATTAATGCTTGCTCTATCAACTCATAGCATTCAAGCTGGAAAAGATAAGGTTGCCAAACGGCTCACTCTACAACAGGTTGGTATTTTGTCGTAGTTCACTATAATATGTAAAACTGCGAAAGTTGTATAATGTTGTTTAATCTCCTTAATATTAGGCAATTGATACAAGAGACTCGTTAGCTAAATTCATCTATGCGAGCTTGTTCGACTGGCTGGTAGAACATGTCAATTACTCGCTTGCGATCGGCAAACAGCACACTGGAAGATCCATAAGCATACTAGACATTTACGGTTTTGAATCTTTCAAGGTATACATACAGAGATTTTAAGTTTTTTTTCAGGTACTGATAATATAATTATATTATTCAGCTGTGTGTCTCATCATAATTTTTTTTTCTCCCTTTTTTGGTTTATAGAAAAACAGCTTCGAACAGTTCTGCATAAATTATGCTAATGAGAGACTCCAGCAACATTTTAACCGACACCTGTTCAAACTTCAGCAAGAGGTAAGCCTCATATGGATAAACTTCAACCGGTTGTAATTAACTTTCCTTATGGATAATCTTTCTCTGCTTTCTTTTCTGCTAGCCTTTTTCTTTCTTATATATGTATGATTTCAGGAGTATGAATTAGATGGTATTGATTGGACAAAAATAGAGTTTGAAGACAACCAAGACTGCTTGGATCTCTTTGAGAAGGTATCTCTTTACCAATATAAGTACCTATTCAAATGCATGGAAGACGCGAAAAATAGTATAAGCAGTGTGTAAAAAAAAAAAAAAGAGTTATCTAATGACTTTATTTTTAACCTGGTCTTGTTTTAACAGAAACCTCTTGGGCTGATTTCTTTATTGGATGAAGAATCACATTTCCCCAAGGCTACAGATTTAACCTTTGCCAGTAAACTTAGGCAGCATTTGGACTCGAATAAATGCTTTAAAGGAGAAAGAGGTGGAGCATTCAGCATTCGCCATTATGCTGGAGAGGTATACATTCACATATCTTTTACACCTTTGTGGATTTTTTTTTAATAAAAAAACCTGTACCAAGAATCAAATTTCTGGATAAACTTGTGTTTTCATCATTTTAATTTTAAACATTTGCAATCGATAAAGAGCACAATTTCTTAATTTGTTTAGGTTCTTTACGACACGAAGGAATTCTTGGAGAAGAACAGAGATCCTCTGCATACTGAAATAATTCAACTGCTATCTTCATGTACGAGCCATTTGTCACAGTTATTTGCTTCCATGCTTAGAGAGTCCCAGGCACTGGCAAGCCCATCGATCAAGTTCGGATTTTTATCTCGTCAGAAACAAAGTGTTGCCACAAAATTCAAGGTAAATAATAATAGTCTTGCTCGTTCAGACATAATAATGCTCCTCTCGAAAAGATTTTTTTTTTTTTTATTATTATTATTTTTTTAAGCGCATTTTTCTATTGCTGGGCATCTTAAAGACTTTCACTTTGATGCAGGGCCAGCTGTTTAAATTAATGCAGCAGCTTGAAAGCACAACCCCACATTTCATTCGTTGTATAAAACCGAACGGTAAGCAAATTCCTGGTGCGTTTGATGAAGGTCTTGTGTTAGAACAGCTTAGATGCTGTGGAGTCCTTGAAGTCGTGAGGATATCGAGATCCGGATATCCTACTCGGATGACTCATCAAGAATTCACCAAACGGTAAAAATTTGCCGGAATAATTTTCGTTTTTCGTTTCGTCAACACTTTCTTATGGTTAATTTGGAGTTTTGGACATTTATTTATAATTTACTATGATTTGCATGAATTTTTTCAGGTATGGATTCTTGGTACCTGAAGAAATTGCATGTCAAGATCCATTAAGCACATCGGTTATCATTCTGCAGCAGTTTGGTATTCTCCCCGAGATGTATCAAGTCGGTTATAAAAAATTATACTTCCGAGCAGGACAAGTGAGAGTGTTTTCTTCTATTCTTCTTTTTTTATGGAATATTTAAAGTATCTGCTAAAGTTAGTCTAATTTATGTTTTCAGATTGCTGCCCTGGAAAATGTGAGAAAACAAGTTCTACAAGGTACACTTGAAGTGCAAAAGTGTTATCGTGGTCATCGTGCTCGTCGATATTTTAACGAACTCAAGGGAGGAGTGGTAACACTACAATCATGTGAGGATTTTTTTTTTTCCTTACAACATCGATATAGAATCTCAGATTTTTATGTTAATTCGTATTTTCATGACAATTATATATATATAAATTCCTGCAGATATTCGTGGGGAAATCGCAAGAAAGGACTATGATTTCTTGCTTACGATGAAAAACGAGGTTGCTTGCAAGAAGCTAGATGAGCAGTTAATGGCAGTTGTGCAAATACAATCTGGTAAAAAGCTTTCTAACCTGAAAAAAAAAAATCCATGGCTAGTGATATTTTCAAGTGTAACTCCTAATTCAAATTCAAATTCAAATTCAACATATTATTGTGCAGTAATTCGCGGATGCTTGATAAGAAGGCATTTTAGCAAACTTCGGAACAGACAGCCGCATGTTACTAAATGGAAACCCGGCAGACGAATATCTGAAATCAAGGTAAATTTCGTTTATTTTTTTCAAAATTCTTCTTCAAACTGTAGTAATAAATTTTTGAAATGAGTTTGTATTTTTATTTTGCTTGAGAGCAGGACTTGCCGCCAGAACTGTTGCCTTCTGTTGTTGAAGAGCTTCAAAAACGGGTAACAATGGCTGAGATGACAATTGCACGAAAGGAAAAAGAAAATGCGGCATTAAGAGAGCAAGTACAACAATACGATGCACGGTGGTCAGAATATGAATCGAAGATGAAATCCATGGAGGCCACATGGCAAAAGCAGATGCAATCTTTACAAGTGAGTTCAAAATTTTGTGTACTGTAAGGAAAATCAAGACATTTTAAACTCTTTTTTCTGTTCTTGCAGTTGAGTTTGGCTGCAGCGAAAAAGAGTCTAGGCTCAGACAATACTAACGCTCAACCGGGAAAGATTAGTGGGACCCAAACACCTTATTATGATTCAGAAGATACATATTTAGGACCTCAAACTCCAATTGCTACAAACGAAGCTCGATTCTTGAACAACAATGGTGGTATCGAGGCTGCTGAAGTTGGAGAAGAAACTAATAATGTTGTCTTAAATCCAGTCAGCCCTCTCGCCAGAGAGTTTGAACACAAAAAACACAATTTCAACAGTGAAGCCCACACGATTGTCGATATCAAGACAGGAAATAATAATAATAATATGCCTTCGGGGAATCTGGTAGAGGAACTGAGAAGACTTAAACACAATTTCGAGATTTGGAAAAGGGATTTTAAGGCTCGATTAAGGGAAGCAAAGGCGAAACTGCACAGGCTCGGGCATGCTGATGGGGAGAAACATGTTCGCAGGAAATGGTGGGAAAAGAAAACGAAAATATTCTAAGCATCAAATCAATCTTCCTAGTTTTTTTTCCTCTTTTTTTTTAACTGACCTTTTTCACAGAAATTTGATGAAATGACCGTGAGGTTGTGTGATTCTTTTTCAGGAACAGTATTGTTGCCTCACAAAAGCGGTTCGGTTTGTGCTAGTTTATGTGTAAACAATATAATAGGTAGTCGATCTTTTGTTGTCGTGTGGAATGATTAACAGTCCCGCCTGATAGATTAAGTGGGATACACGAGATGATGTGCTGTACAGTGTGCTTAAATATGGTGTAGCAGTTTAGATTTTTAGCTGGAACTTGGATATAATGTAGTTTAGTGTTGGAGAAAACTTGGAAGAGAAGTGTTTTGGCAATTGTACCAGGTTTTTCAAAGACATTGTAAAGAACCAAGAATATATGGCTATTGTACCAGGTTATTCTCTCTGTCATCATTATGGAAAATACAGGACATTTTCGATCTCTTGAACTTGTATCTCTGTCATCACAACTTGATTTAGAAACCCTTTTTATCACATTTGTGTTTGCTGAACAAGAGTCTCAAGAACATAACAATACCACATAAATTCAAGAATCAACTACCACCAAAATCAGTACACAATAATAACAATGTTTATGATCCAGGCACAAATTTGGTGGCATATACCCAAGCATTGTTAGCAACTGGGTTATCAAGATGGTCCAACAAATTCTCCAAAGGCCCTTTCCCCGTAACAATCGCCTGCACGAAAAACCCAAACATCGAGAACATGGCCAACCGCCCATTCTTGATTTCCTTCACCTTGAGCTCAGCAAATGTAACCGGGTCGTCCGCCAGGCCCAACGGGTCGAAATATTGCCCGCCCGGATAGAGATCGTTGCCTTCCCCAACCCCATCAAGACCGTTGATTCTAAACCCCTCGACAAGCCCCATAAGCACGACTTGAAAACCGAGGACCGCGAGTATGCTTTGTGCATGGACCAAGTTCGGGTTGCCCAAGTAATCGAGCCCACCCTCCGAGAAGATTTGGGCCCCGGCCTTAAACCAAACGGGCTCCTTGAAGTTGACGTTGACCCATTTCTCGAGGACTTCTGGGGTTATGCACCCGAGGGCCCCGAGCATGGCCCACCTCCCGTGGATCACCTAAGGAGAAAGTCGGTTTTTTAACAAGGTGAGTCGAGCTATTTAGGTATGTAACTCTTTTTTTGCAAACGTACATAAGTTCATTAGAAAATGTCAGCATTTTTTGTCCAAATAGCATGACGGGTCGACTCGCCTAACCGTCAGACTGATTGACTCACCCAAGAATTTGTGCCCATGTAATTACTAGTTTCATTAGAAACGTACATGCTTTCATTAGAAAATGTCGCATTTTTGTCCAAATAGCATGACGGTCGACCCGCTTAACCGTTAGGCTGACTTACCCAAGAATTTGTGTTGCATGTGATTACTAGTTAACACAATAGATAATCCCATTAAATGAAGCAAATGTAAGATAAGAACATATCAAGAAAAACAAGTGCTAATAATTATATATACCTCAAGAGCCCTGTTTTTGGCGAAGGCCTCGGGATCAGCCGACAAGCCAGCTGTGTCCCAGCCATAGTCACCGGGGAATTCTCCAGTCAGGTAAGACGGAGTCTGGGCTGAAAACGGGCCCAAATACTTGACCCGGTCCGGCCCGTACCACAAATTCTTACTCTATAGTATACGGAAAGAAAAGATCAAATTTTTCTAGTTACTAACATTGCAAAATTTCAATTTTCATTCACAGATCAACACAAAATGTAAAAAAGAAAAAGAAAAAGGAAAACAGTGTCAATTATTAATTTATTACCATAGTGAATTTGCCCTTTCCCATGGGGATATCTCTAAAGGGATTGTAATTCATGGTTTGGCCCAAAAACGGTGTTGCCCGGAGGACGGCCGTGGAGCTGGCGGTGGCGGCCATTGATGCCATTTTTTGCTATATTTTTTATTATTTTTTTTATCTTTTCTATTGCAGTGTGTGTAAGGAGAAGAGGGTGTAAGGAGAAGAGTAAAGGGGAGGGACTTTATGTTGTGAAGGTGAAGATTTTGTGCATGGAAAATTGTGGCTGAGGAGCAATAGCAAGTGGGAAGCCAACCAATCAGAAGGGGTTTAAAGATTTTGAGCATCTCCACCTCATATCTTTTTATCCACATTTTATCTTTCACAAAATGACACCAAAACACAAAATTTTAATTTCTTGAAAATAAGGAAATTACAGGTCAATTTATTTTTATCACGTAGCACTTAAATAAAAAAAAAAAATTTGAAAATGTATTTGTCAACATTATTAAGGTCAATAACTATTTGAAATGTCATGAATAACACTATAGAGTGGCTACGTTCACGATTGTTGCGAGTTTTGTCACAATATTTATCGTTAGTCGTTACTATTTTAAGTTTCAACAGGATACATTAAATATTATTTTTATTTTTTTTATAATTGAAAATGTTGCAAATAGCAATTTTTAGATTATATACATAACTATGTAGTATAATTATTTATTAGTTTTATGTGAATATGCAATTGGTAACATATATAGTATATCTAGGATAAATGAAAACACATCACATTTTTTGAGGCCATGGCGCACGATATCAAATTTTGATGATATTTGTCTTTCTAGGTAGTTAACTATTTTGATGAAATATTGTAAAAATAATTCCACCAAGTATAAATTTATCATTTTATGAGGAGCTAAAAGTATAAATAAATGAAAAAATGTTAAAAATGCGGTGAGCGTGGATCGAACACGCGACCTTCAGATCTTCAGTCTGACGCTCTCCCAACTGAGCTATCCCCGCAGTTTACTTGCCGATGAAACTGTTATTAATAGTACTATCTTTTCAGACTGCAATTTCGAAGCAAAATGGTTGGTTTTTCTAGATTCGTGATTCCGTTTTCTATAACCTGTAATTCAAGCCCATTTTCTTTTTCACGATCGAAGCCCAATTCTTGACTATTAGGCTCCCTAAAAAATTATCTCCGTTAAAGAGAGAGAGCGGAAATGGGTTTAACAAATAAGAGCAAGAAAGGGCTTGAAAATCTCCCAATAAAAAGAAGGGAACTCGTCAAACACAGGGAGTTGGTAATTTTGCTGGCCACTGTTTTATGTTCGCTTTCTTGTTCAGGGACTCATTGTTTTTGTGGATCTTTATTTGTTGGTTGTTAAAAGAGCAATCTTTATCGTATCTAGGTTTTTTTTTTAATTACTAGAATTTCCTTTGAACGATGTTGCTGCCGTTTTCATTTGGGATGTTTGTAGCAAGGGTTATTGTCTTATTGATAACAATTTGTTGATAGCTTTATCTGCAGAATGATTTTATTTTTTTTTACATCTTTTATTCTGTTATCTCAGACAATAGAAAATCGGTTGGAAGCACTTGAGGCGAGTAGAGTTGATGCAATTGCATACCAACTCTGAGAATTACCGGGCCGAGACTCTAGGGAGATTCGAGAGGATCGAGCAGGCCCAGGTCCAAATACTCGAAATGATGGGACGTATTGGGCCGGGCCAGTAGTGGTATCCGTTGAATGAATTTTTCGTGCTTCCTTTAGTCGAATGATTGAGAATGATAGGACCTAGGATTTGCTCTGCATTGGGTATTTTGGTTATTAGTTGAAACATGTTTGTATGCTTGTTCATATAAATAAAATTTGCTACTTTTCAAATAGAGATATGAAAAGTAGCAAATTTTACTGCATTCTACCTAAAATACATGAACAAATAAAATAAAGCTTCCACATATAAATAATGACTTCCATTTCCTATTTACTAGCTACTTATTACTTCCTTTATGCATTTTACTACCTAGATCAATAATCTTTTTGGCTTTTCGGCTAAACTATATTGTATTTTGGGGTTGAGTGTTATTTTTAATCAGGAAGTATTTTATTAAAAATAGCAATTTAGCATTTGTAAAAATGATAGCACCATGTAAGATTAAAAATAGCATCATACACAATTAAAAATAGCATCAAATATGATTCTCACGGTTCTCACACCATAAAGGTTTTTATTTGAACTACTCCTTATATATATATATATATATATATATAGGTTATGCATTATTTTGTTGAAATGTCACATATAGGGATGTATGGACTTACTGATTGATACATGGAAAAACCCCGGAAAATAATTGAAAATTCACATTACCTCTAATGATTGGACTTATTAATACATCAAAATGAAAAACCCTAAAAAATTCATAAAAGTAGACATGGTCAAAGGGCCGCCCGGCCCGGACCCAACCCCAACCCGGCCCGGTCAAACTAGTTGACCACGGGTCTGGGACCGGCCCGGATTTTAGACGGGCCGTGTAAAGGTCATACATTTCACGACCCGGCCCGGCGGGTCCAGGTCGGGCCAGGTCAATGACCCTCCTTTTCTTTTTCTTTTTTTCTATTATTTTTTAAAAAAGTAACGGACCCGGTCCGGATCCGACCTGGACCGGACACGAACCCGGCACGAATATAGATCCGTGCTAGTTCAGGGTCATTATTTTCGAACCCGTCTGCCCGGATTTTGGCCATGTCTACATAGAAGATTCACATTACTTCTAATGAAATGTCCACACTTCTCTCTGTTTGGGTGAAATTTTATAGTTCTTGTACTTATAGCTTTTTTTTTTCCCTATCCTTTTGGGATTGAATTTACTTAGAAAGTGACACTACGAGAGAAAATCGTTAAATTTCAATGAAAAAATTGAATGTCAATATATTCCAACAACAATTTCAATGTTAAATTTTCGTTGAAAAATTCCAACGAAAATGTTCGTTTTTCTTTGAAATTTCTATTGAATTTTGACAATTTGAATGACATTTTTTTCAATGGTTCTAATATTGTTGATTAGAAAAAAAATGATCGAAATTGCATATTACAACAAAAAATTCTTGTAACAAATTTCAACTACTATTCTAAGAAAAAATAATTCAAATAAAAGATTCTAGTGTTGGTTTTCGTTGGAATATCAGTTGAAATTTTCCAACGAAAGTTATATTAGAACATCTTAAAAACTTCTCTTCAAATATTTCGTTTATTTGATATTTCATAGTAATTTGGTATAATATTCTAAATTTTTTTCAATTGCAACAGAAATTGTAAATGACTATATATATATAATTTCAAGAGACATTTTCCAATGTCAAACAGCTCTTAATGCATCTCATTTTGTCGTTTAAATTAGGTTTTTGCCAAGATATACATATGCATAAGATATATGAATATTTATTTTAATAATTGGTAGACTACAGAACAAAAAGGAGGAAATTGCATGGAACCTGTGCAGTCCAGACTTATTTGGAATGAGAGAAGACCCCTATTTCAGCCCTACTCGTGTTTCTTGCTTATAATAAATAATATCTGTCCTTTTTGTCATGCAACATTTTTCCAAAACTACCCTTAGATCATCTCATGCACATCATATTATTTCATCTAGCTAATGAAAAAGTTGGCCATGATAATTATAATTATGTATAAGACAATTTCCTAATAAATGGATATTTTTGCACTTTGTTTTTAACATTCTAACCATATATGTCAAAGAGTTATTGAATATTCTTTCTAATTTTAAGTAATTTCGTGCAATTAATAGTGGGTGTATGTATTTCCATCAATTTAATAAAGAAGTTGCTTAATGGCACAAACGGTGAATAATGAAAGTATATATAAATAGTCAAATAGCATCAGACTGAATTTCTTTTGCACTTGCTGATTCCATCATCACCTGCCTGACTTAATCGTTTTCGTAACTATCAATTGCAGAAAAAATACATATAATGATTAGAAATAGTTTATTTTTTTATTTTTTTTGGTACAAAAAATAGTTAAATTTTCACTTCTTGAAAGAGTAGTTTTAGCAACTCGTGACATAAATCTTACATGCCCATTAATAAACAGAGGGATAAAATAGGGTGTCCATCAAATCTAGAATCATAATAATTATATATTTTCTTGTTTTAGTGAAAATTTCACGTGTATAAATAAAGACAACGGATTATCTATACTAAAATGGCATTTCTATCTCAATCTTATATATGTTCCATGATCGCACGTAATGACATTTGCTTATGCTTATATAAACGTATAGAATCAAATTGACAAAAACACACACACACACACACACACACACTATATGTGTATTCTAAAGATTAGGTTTTACATTTGACAATTATCAGTTGTGATGAATCAAGTGTCTGATCGGCCCAATAGTTAGGCGACGAGTGTGAAGTAGCTGGTTTAATTCTTTTTNAGTAATAAAATAAAAAAATCAAAACCTCTTATATATATAACCCACGGTCAAGTAGTTGGTTTAAAAATCATAATCTCATCAATGATATTGATATGACTCTCCAACAATCACTATGCTTAGATAAAGCTGAAGTTCAATTTTCTTTGTTGTTATTGTTCAAACATTCAATATCATTCAATGATATGTTTATTCAGAAACGCACAAGTAGAACACAAGATGAAACACAAGAAATAAAGAGTTATGTCATCTTACACTACCATAAATATATGAATTGTTGAAATTGCATATGTCAAGTATATATCCACCATTCATTACTCTTCTCATTATAATATTGTCAAAATTGACAATCTAGAGCTCACGAGGGATTACATAGTCAATCTTGATAAGTTGATAAGTTAGAGATAAATAGAAAATGAAAACATGAAAGAATTTTAAAATTGATCATCTATATAGTATATATCAATTCCTATATATTGATATTTTTCTCAATTTTTGGTCTTTTTTATTTTTCAAAATTGGTCCTCTATATTGTCCCTTTTTATCCACATTGTAGACAAGAAGAGACCAAAATTTAAAAAATCAATTTATAAGATTAAGGTTGATGATGATCAATATCAAATACAAAAAATGGAAAATGGACTATATAGAAGACCAATTTTAAAATTATGCCATGAAACTTAGGAAAATTGGAGATTTAGTCCTGTAACTGACACCTAATTAAGAAATGATTCGGTAATCGCCTTGACTTTATAATACACCCCGTAATTATCGAAAAACACGACTTTCGGTAATTCAGCTGCCACGTGTACAAAAAGAATGAAAAATAATATGCACCTTAGCAACCAGTTACATGAACCGACTTTTGCCGGTGGAAGGACCAAGAGTCAGATTCTTTTTTGTAGTCACAGGGTTTTTGTAAAATCAACGCAACTACTAGACGATTTCTCAATTTGGTATCAATTACAAAACTAAATCTCTAATTTTTCTTGAAAACTTATGCACACATAATTTAAGGGGCATTTTAGTACTTCCACTCATCCCTCACTTTCTCCCATATCTTCAAATATAATACACCCATCACTTATTGCACTCTCCCAACAAAAAAACCCTCATTGCTCATCTATCATCAACCTCAANGAAAATCACAAATAAAGATTGAATAAAAATAAATATTAACCAATGCCGAACCACGATCACGAGCGGCTCCACCGCAACTCCTACACCCCCGACCATTCTTCCGACGAATCGGAAGAACTAACATCGAACGACGAAGAAGATGATGATGGCGGAGGCCCAATAATCCCGCGAAAACGGGCCTGCAAGTGGTGGGGCCCAGTTCCGGACCCAAAATCAATGTGGGCCCAAGAATGGAACAAAATATTCCTCCTGGCTTGCGCGGCCGGCCTTTTTGTCGACCCGTTGTTCTTCTACGCTTTATCGGTAAGCGAGAGCTGTCTGTGTCTGTTCGTGGACGGCTGGCTGGCGGTGGCCGTGACTGTGCTCCGGTGCATGACCGACACTTTACACGTCTGGAACATGGGCCTCCGGTTAGGGATCAGCCCACGGGCCGCGGCCCGTGGGCTGGGCCATGGGCTGTCCCGGAAGTACTTCAAGTCCAAGAAAGGCTTCATCTTTGATCTCTTTGTAATCCTTCCCTTGCCTCAGGTGATTTTTTTAAGTATGGGATTAAATCACAACGTTTGCAGTTTGCTTCGTTAGCAAATTAATTAATCTCATCTCAACCTTTTAATGTTGGCAACAAATAGAAGTTTTGAGTTTTTTATTTGTTAAATCGAAGCACGCGGTTAACTAATTGAGGATTGGAGGCTAACGTGTCAGCTCGGACGTACGAACATATTAAATTTTAAAGAATTAAAGAAAAGTAAACTAGACGTTGTTATAAAATATCGGTGCCCTTTATTCGAATAATTTTTTTTTTTTTNAATTAACTGAAGCTTATGCTTTTTTTAATCTAATCGTTCCGCCCCATGTCAATATATTTTATTGTTTAGGGGCTCTTGAAAATCAGATTTGTAATAATTAGAGGAAATTGTAAATTTTCAAATTCTTAATTTACTCGTGCACCACTTAATTGAGAGTGAATGTCTAACATACTCAAACTCCACAGAGAATCTGATACGTACACAACAAAAGATTTAATAGAGTTTTCAAATCTTGGAATGTGAAATTAGAATACTAGTGACAAGCCTAATTTTTCGCTTTTTTCTTTTATTATTTGTGACACGCATGTCGTCTGCTCTCTTCAAGTAAGATAGCCAGTCGAGACTTAAGCATAGATTGGGATTTAATTTACAATTTACTATTACCGTCATCCAATTTTTTTTTTACGTTTTCCATTTATCTTACAAATAAAAAAAGTTATTACCTTTTGATTTCGTATAAAAGAAATTGTTAATTAAATAGAACATGGGTTTTCTATCTTTTACTCTTACCTCATTGTGAAAAATGTGGTTTCCTATTTTATTCAATTAATTTATTTAATGCTTAATTTTGAAAAAAAAAAATTAAATAGTGTGAATCTGATTCTGGTACATTGGGGAGAGTGAGGCCAAACTGTGTGTAAGGATTTGTTTTTGGAATTATTGTTGGGGATTGAGGTTGTAAGGTTAATGGGGACAAAAGAAGTTGCTTGTCATTTTGAAAGTATTTGCAGTCACAACTTTCAAATACATTATACATGTGACCCTCTGTGTCTATATATGTTCAAGCCAAATCAATCAACACTCATTTTTATCTCTCCTCTGTATTTTTTTTTTTTTTNTTTATAATTATTTGATATTTTCTATAAATTATTAATTGTCGGAGTACTGTAAATATTATTTATTTTACCTTCTTTTTTTTTGTGTTTATATAGTTTTCATTATTGGAACTTGGTTGACTGAGGCTAAAAGAAGAAGAAGGAACATGCTTTGTCGAGAAAGATAATAGTCTTCGTGTGGGAGTTCGATAGTTTTTGTTTGGTTTATGTTTATTTTAAGTTGTCGACTCTAGGATAATTCTGAGTAGACCTCCTAAATTCAACTTAGTTAGCTAATGAATTGGTTTATTCTTGTTATTTTCTAGTATGTAATTTTAGTATTTATTAATATAAATCTGTTATTTTGAAATTAAAAAAAAAATGAGTACTATAAGACGGTGTTCTTTTTAGTTATGGATAAAATAATGAATGGAACACAAGAGATTGGATTAGAACCATATAAATTTGATTGATAGTAATAAACAATTTACCAGTCAAATGTATAGTTACTAATGCAATACTATATAATATTCTCCTAATATTTTTGTGTATACACAAATTATTTTATATTTCACTGTTAGGTGATCAGCGTAAGTTTTATAATTTATGTAGCTAACTTATAAACTTATTGTATTCAAATAATTCAAACTGGGTAGGATGATTNGCTTATGTGTAAAAAATTAATGTTAACATTGTCAAGCTCACTTTCTAATTTCTCACATTCTTTCTAACATGATGACTCATCATTTTGATAATTATTTGACACAAATTTTGAGCTTTTCATAAACTTGGAAAAATCTCACCCTTACATTTATCCAATAAAACATTTGAGAATTTATTTGAATACAGTATAATTATTTGATGAGTTACAACTAAAATTTAAAAAATTTATTAATAATAATGTCCTTAAAAGTAAAATATTATGTTCATGATATTTTTTTGTTGAGTTATTGCAATTTTAATATTTTGTGGTTTTATTTTAAGACAATTAAAAAAATATTTATTGTGTGGTTATACATATTGTAACTGAGAAATTATTGAATAAATAATAATTTTATAAATTTGATGACATAAATAAAAATTAACTGAATCAACAAAAAATAACATCATGCATATAATTATTGGAATTTGTGGTTTTTTTTCTAATATACTCTTTGATTTTATTAATAATTGAATAAATGCACATATACAAATTGTATGGTTGTTGAATGGATGCATTGGAGGCAACAATTCAAATGAAAGTCCTATTCTTTTAACATTCAATTCATGTAGATTAAACATTAATCCATTGATTGACATGTGTTCAAATTTAATTAATGTTGAAAGTTGAGCATTGGAGATGCTCTTATGCCATCAGCCATAAGTTAGGCGCTTTCAACTCAAAATTAACTGTCAAATATCATTTTTTCAACTAAATTTAGCAAACATAATCAACTTTTCAGCTTGAAATTAATATCAGGTACCATTTTTCACGTAAATTTAGCAATAGTATTCAATCTAACAATCTTGATTTTAAACTTATGTATCTTTTATGCAATTTGTTGAAAATGAGGGGAAAAAATAAATCATAACGATGAAAAGATATGTGCAGATTGTGATGTGGGTTGCAATTCCAAAGCTGTTGGAAAAGGGTTCAACAACGGTGGTGATGACAGTGGCACTGATTGTTTTTCTGTTTCAATATCTGCCGAAAATCTACCACTCCGTTTGTCTTCTCCGGCGTATGCAGAATGTTTCCGGCTACATTTTCGGCACCGTTTGGTGGGGCATTGCTCTCAACATGATTGCCTATTTTGTTGCCTCCCATGTAAGTATCTAGTGTTTTATTAATTAGTTAGAACTATAATTATTAAACAAATTTAAACATAATAATTGCCTTATTCTTCTTGCTCATCACTAATCAATAATAATTATCTTCGTTTTGGTCTTTTATTGGGTAAAGAATAGTGAATAGCTTTGGTAGCTGATTGATTAGTTGATTAAATTGTTGACTGCATAGATGGTTGGTAAATAATTAGTTGTTCTAATAAGGACATTGGTGCAATTTGTTACTTTGATTATTATATTTTTGTTAGATTTTTATTGCAAGTCTTAGTGTTGAAACAATCGTATTTATTGTTTATAACTATCAATATTTTTATAGATTATGACTACCAAAATATATAAAAATTCCCTGGATTCTTTATGATTTGCAAATACATTATATTTTATTTTTGAAAATACTAATAGTTAAGGAAGTTATTTGAGTCGAGTCGAGTTGATGTCCTTGTTTAAGCTTATGAAAGCACGGCTCGACCCGTTTAATAAACCAAAAACCTTAAATGAGCTGTTCGAGAACATGAAATGTTGGCTAGTAGAAAAGTCTGGTTCGACTATTTCATTTAAAATCTATCAAAAAAAAAAATGATAATAATAATAATAATTACTTGGAATTTGATTAGGCTGTGGGAGCATGCTGGTACTTGCTGGGCATCCAAAGAGCTGCAAAATGCTTGAAAAAACAGTGCTTTCTCAGCAATGGCTGCAGCTCGAGAATGACAGCCTGTCAAGAATCTGTGTACTATGGGACAAAGGATCTCATTAGGGACGGGCCCAGATTCGTTTGGGCCGAGAACAAAAGAGCCCGATCGGCCTGCCTCGAAAATTTCGACAACTTCGACTACGGAGCTTACAAATGGACCGTGCAGCTCGTCACCAACAACAATCGCTTGGAGAAAGTCTTGTTCCCCATATTCTGGGGCCTAATGACTCTAAGGTATGAATATGATAATGTAATGTGCAATTCATACAATGCAATTTATATTAAATACTTAATGCTTCGTTCCACTCGTTTGAATTCATTTTTTTTTTTTTTTTCTGCTTAATTATATAACTAGTCAAGTTGAGTTTGAGTTTTCACGAACTGAACTGAAATATTGTGTTCGCTAACAGCTCGGTTCTGTGTTTAGTGATTATAGTCTTATGGACCAGAAAAAATATAACATTTGTGATTTGACAGTACATTTGGGAATCTCGAGAGCACGACGGATTGGTTGGAAGTCGTATTTATTATCATCGTTCTAACCACTGGGCTCTTGCTCGTCACTATGTTGATTGGTAATATCAAGGTGAAGTTTTTTTTCTTTATCAATCTTCTGTATTTTGCCATTTGAATTAAGTGGTTTATTAATTGTAGTTCGTCTCTACAATGTACCTTTCTCATTTTAAGATTCGGCCGATTAGATTCTTTCTCAAAGAGGATAATGTGATAATGTCTGAATAACTTAATAAAAGAAAAATATTTGTTTCGTTAAGGTTTTCTTGCACGCGACCACGTCGAAAAAGCAGGCAATGCAGCTGAAGATGAGGAACATCGAGTGGTGGATGAGAAAACGGCGTTTGCCCCTTTCTTTTAGGCAGAGAGTGCGAAACTACGAAAGGCAGTGTTGGGCAGCTATGCGTGGGGTGGATGAGTGCGAAATGACACGAAACCTGCCCGAAGGGCTTAGGAGGGACATCAAGTATCATCTATGTTTGGATTTGGTCCGACAGGTGAAAATATTCGAACGAACAACGTGAGCGCGTTTTTTTATGTATAATGTGGCTAAAAATGCACGAAAAATGTGACGTCTTATTGTTTCGTCGTCTGTCAGGTGCCTCTGTTCCAACACATGGATAATCTCGTCCTAGAGAACATATGCGATCGTGTCAAGTCCCTCATATTCACTAAAGGCGAAACGGTGAGTGAATAATTTAATTATAATCTGAGTTAATCGTTTTTGGATGTTAGTGGATTCGTGTAAAATTAGCGGACTCAACTCATTTAGAGGTTAATGTGACCGTCAAGTCTGCTAATTAGTTTGTTTGGTAAAAGCTAAAGAGTTTATTCGATTAGCTTTTTGAGCTCAAAACATTGCTTCTCAAAAGGCTCGATGCAGGAGCCTTTTTTAGAAGAGAAAAATCGTAGAATAACATGTCTAAATATAAGTCGACAAATATGTAGACAAACCGATATTTACCGAACAACTAATACTATCAGTTTGTTAAATCAACTATTACAATTTGTTGTCAACTAACAACTAACCGCTAATAGCCAAACATAGCCAATATTAGAGCTTTAGAGGGTTCGCAGAATAACATGTCGAACATAAAATTTTCAAAAAAATAGTGATACAATTCGTTGTTTGCTGAGTAGTTACTTACAATATAAAACAGCTAATACTATCTGCTAGTCAAATCAACTATTACAACAATAATTTGCTATCAACAAATAGCCAAACTTGTCGACCGTAGTATTTTCTTCGTAACGTTCTAATGCCATGTAAAAAATATTTTTCTTGCAAGATCACGAGAGAAGGCGACCCGGTTCAGAGGATGCTTTTCGTCGTTCGCGGCCACCTCCAGAGCAGCCAAATCCTCCGCGACGGCCTCGAGAGCCGATGCATGCTTGGCCCCGGCAACTTTAGCGGCGACGAGCTCCTCTCGTGGTGCCTCCGCCGCCCGTTCGTCGAGCGCCTCCCCCCGTCGTCCTCCACCCTCGTCACCCTCGAGACAACCGAGGCTTTTGGGCTCGAGTCGGACGACGTGAGGTACGTGACTCAGCACTTCCGGTACACGTTCGTGAACGAGAAGGTGAAGAGGAGCGCGCGGTACTACTCGCCCGGGTGGCGCACGTGGGCCGCGGTGGCGGTACAACTGGCATGGCGGAGGTACAAGCATCGCCTCACACTGACGTCGTTGTCGTTTATTAGGCCGAGGAGGCCGCTGTCGAGGTGCTCGTCGCCCGGCGAGGATAGGCTGAGGCTGTACACGGCGCTGCTGATGTCACCTAAGCCTAATCAAGATGATTTTGATTTTTGAAATTTGTGCAATTTTTTTTTTAGTGATTTGGGTTTTGGAGGGAGATTAATTGAGGTGTGTTATGTGGAATGTGGATATTGAACAAGTGTTGCTATTTTGAGGAATTTTTTGGGTTGTTTTGAATGGTGAGTGATTAGGTTATGTGTGTGTGTGTGTTTGTAGGCCAATTTGAAACTTGATATTAATGCAAGGGATATGTGTCGCAGTTAGAGCTGTTGACGAGTTGAGTTGAGTCGAGCTCGAGCTTGTTAATGCTCGAGCTTGATAAGAATATTTATATATATTTTATAATTCGGCTCGTTAGTATTGATAAACGAGTCGATCGAGGTCGAGCTCGATTACTAATTCGTTTAGTTCATGAGCCAAGCTCGGCTCAACATGGCTCGGTTACACAAACTTAGTGACAATTATGAGTCGCACGATATGAAACAGGAATACGACACTGTAGATAATGTAAAATTGATGTGTTGTATGTGAATAATCGATAATGAAATCAAAAGTACAAACCTGATAGGGACAAACACTATTGGATTAATTATGAAAATTATACATATAGATAGCTAAAATTGAAATTAAAAATCAATTAGTTATGCCCTTCATAGCCTGAAATTGATGAACATCCCCATGGTCTTCTTGTCCATTTGATGACCCTTTGAACAGCAAAATTGCAAGGCTCCCCACATAAAAATGGATGAAACAACCACAGCAATGGGTCACAAATGACCCGAAATCCCTTCCCACAATACATTGCCAACCCGGTCCATAAACCCTGTCAAATTCCTACAATTAAAATCACAATAAAGATGTAATTGAAGTAAAGATTAACTGATGAATAACACAAATTCTTGTATGAGACGGCATATAGTTAGGCGAGTCAACCCGTAATACTTCTGCTTAGTTATGTTTTTAGATAGTGACATTTCAATATCAAAATATGAATAATTTCAGATCCAACTAACAACAATCTTACCTTACTGGTCGTGTAAATTATTCTGCTATGAATCAGCTTAATAGATATGCGTATCGACATATTTTTAGATACGCGTAATAAACAGTTAATTAAAAAACTAAAAACATCATAAATAAAATAAATAATTAAGGTACCTTTTTAATGAATCTGGCTATATCAGTTGAGTCAGTAACATCAAAGAAATCAAGAGCCTTGGCTGCCAAATTGAGTGCATTTTGCTGCATAGTTTGCAGCATATCAGTCTCCTTAACCACTGCCTTGCCTTCTAACATTCTCTAGTTTACAATATATCTTTTATCAGATAAAAATAAATAAATAAAGAGCAAACTAGAATTGCAATTGCTATCTATTTATATAATTAATTAATTGTGCATATAAGTATCTAACATCAATTTTTTCCACTTTCTCTCTACTAATTTAATTTACTCCCAAAATACTTTTTGGGGCATTATATATATGTGTGCGTAAGGGTGCAGATAGAAGTGATGTGGATTTTGTGGCCAAAGATTGGGATTCAATATATGTGGTGCTATGGCATCATTCCAAATGGCTACTTCATAGAATAGCAATCTCACAATCTGTGTATGTATAATTAGATCCATTAAAAAAAATGACATTCATATTGTTCACCAAAATATAAGATGAAAAGCTGAATAAAATAGAAAAAAAAATAAAAAAAAAATGGACCTCTTACTTTAGACCAAGTAAATGTATACGGATATTCCATTTCACTTTTTATGTTATTCAATCCGTATCTAACAAATTTATGTTGTGCAAGAGAGTAGGAAATTGGAACTCAGATTAGTTTTGCATTTTATCATATATTATATTATAATATGTTTTTAAATTAAATTTTTTATTAATGAGAGAACTTTTTTTTCTTTCAAATTTTCTAACTTAATGGAATATACTATGTTTTCAATAAAATAGATACCTGATCTACACTTAACAATCATTTTCACTTGATGCTAAAATCCACAAGGAGCAGTATCATGATAATACACGTCTTTAGGTACTGAACACTTGTCTATTTCTTGTGATTAACCAATCGGGTAATGCCACGTGCCACTATGTCATTGTTTTTATTTATTTTAATTTTATTTTACTGGCAACGTGGCATTGTGCAACCAGCAAACACCCTTCAAGGCTTCTTCATCTGCCTAACCAGTTGCATCTGGACGGTTTCTTCATCAAGGTTCTAATGGAGAGAGACTTGAATTTTAATCTAAGACGAGTTTTGGGCTGTTAATAATCGTTCAAAATGTATTAATCAGCTGAACTCAAAAATTAACGTAACTCTAACATTTGAGTTTGAAATTGTTGTTATAATTATATTCCGAAAGAACATCCCTCTAAACGGTTATTCCGAAAAGAATTGCATATACAATAATACTCCTCTGTCCCGTTTTAAAGTTTCTAATTATTTATTGTTCCAACTATAACCATACAAAAACCTTTAAAATTCTCTTTTTGTTTAATTACCATAAAACCTTGATTCGATTAACATTATTAAGAAAGAGATACGAAAATATGTGATTTTAAAAAGATTTAATGAAGAGTATATTTGGGAACTACAGGAGTTATTAAATTCTTCTATTTTTCTCCAGAACGAAAACTTATTGAAACAGAGAGAATACAGAATAACCCATAAAGAAGCTACAAGTTTGAAATTCATTGAATTCACTTCATATATTCTCCGAAAAAAAAAAAGTTGGAACCAATCTTCACATAAATGAGAAATTCTGTAACAAACTAAGAAGAAAGAAGCATACAACAAGTGATACAAATACAAACCCAACCAAAAGCAATAATCACATTCAAGGCTCCAATGTTCACTCCCATTGTGTTGACCCTTGGAGAGAACAATTCTTGCAACATTGTGAAAAAAAAAAAATATATATTCACAGTAAAGTGAAAAACAATGCAATTAACTCTAGAACACATAATGGTCACACAAAGAATGAACATTCAGCCCAATTATTCTTCTCTACTTACGAATGCATCGAGAATTTTGTCAATCGGGATTTAATCTACCGAGCTCGACACTTACTCATTTCACCCTGAATTTACCGCTTCAACTTGCTGCCGAGCAAGATACTTTTCCCGACGTTCTTTCTGGATTAACAAAGGGAGAGAAATTAGAATTTTCAAGGTAAATTGTAAATTGTATTTTAAATTATGACACTGGAGTATAAAAGTATGCACATTTGTTAAAAATATGTGACATTGGGCTGATTTTTTTTATTTTTTATTTTTTCAATAAAGTGAAAAGGGAAAGTTTTTGGAAGTTATAAGCAAATAGCTACCTGAATTTCTATTCTAATTACCAAAGTTCTAAAGGATTATCATTTTTTTTTCTTTATTGTCCCGAAAGATAATGGATACTTACCCATTCATCTATAACAAGACCTTCACCAAGCCCAACCACACGCGGGCCCGTATCTGTTTGTGGAGGCTTCTTTCGGGCTTCGAGTGCAGTATCTGCTTCGGCCAGCTGGCGCTTCAGTTTATCGAGCGCCTTACCAAAGAAAGAATTTACATGAGAACAGAACTCGGGGCAATAAGAGTAACGCTAAAAGACGGTTTTTGCATAAATAATTTTTTCGAGTCTTACAGGATTAGCACGCTCTGGATCCAAGAATACAACCCGCAATATACGTTCAACAGTTACTTGATCCCTTTGCTCGTCAAACTACAGAAGAATTCAAATTACATATGATGAATTGCTAGTCAATTATTATGGCTTGTCGATTATGAAAGTTAGAAATGTTAGAAAGTAATATGTGATTCTTGTTCCAGCTAATACCGACTAATATGGTGTATTTGGCCGTACAATAATAATATAGTTTGGTCAAAGTTGTTAACTTTCATGAACTGAATGTCAACAATTAACACTGAAGACCAAGTAACACACTCAGAACATTCAAGGATTGTAACAATATATTGTCGAGTAATACTGAATTGAATAAACAAATAAGCACTATAAAATTCTCTTGCAGCAGAAAAATGTTTCATAATCTCATTATAGAAACTATCGTCAAACCAAAAATGCACTTCTAGCGTAGACCATATTAGCGTTGAAGTTGGTAATAGGCTTCAAATTCATAACATACAAACCATGTGACGGCATGGAAAACAAAATAAAGCTACTGAATTACAAATGGCTTCAATAAGTAATGTTTATTCGTTATAAAACTCGTGTTATAATTAATAACATGTACAAATTGGAGCAGTGAACCTCAAAAAAGGGTCTCTAATTTTCAAGAAAGCACATCTTTTTTTTTTTTTAATCTCGAAATAAAAGTCGGTCCCACAAGATCCCTTCTTAAATGAGATTATCACAAATTTTCAACATACTCCATGAATAATTAATTACACAGATCATGCATTTAACCACTCTAGTAAGTAGTTTTTATAACCCAAACAACATTAGGTGAGCAATGCTTTTAAGGAAGGTAAATTTACTCACCAACTCAGGGACATAATCTGTTCCTTCTTTCACTTTAAGACTCATAATCTTGAACTTAGCCTTGCTCTTTTGATTTACGGGTTTCTCATTGTTCTCCGGATGCTCCACGAATTTGAACACTGGCAAATAGAACGTGCAATACAATTTATCCGATGGACAATATTTTTACACTAGAAAGTCGCTTGTACAAGGTTTCTATTGTTCCGGATTTTTCCATTAGATTGAGATTAAATAAAACATAAGCAAGAAAAAACATGAAATGTTCTTTACCGGAGGCTATGAGGCCTTCTCCAGGAGCAAGAATACCGCCAGGCGGTCGCATGTAACAACTCTTGGGTTCGGTCGTTTGAAACTAAATAAAGAAAAACAAAAGCCATCTAAGATAGGTCACCTCTAGTGAGGTTATCTTTATCATTCAGATTCAAAGGCCAACAGATTCTTTTATTCAATTAAGGTTAGACTTGTTATATCAAACATGGACATCAATCTAGCACACAAGTAAGAACAACAATTCAACTAAAAAAATCACGCGATTTCCAGCAAAAATCAGCTTCAGAACTAAAAGGGATAATTGCTCAAAACTCACTGTTCAAAATCAAACAAACTACCAAAACAAGAAAGTGGGAATATCAAACAGACATCAATATATACACATGAGTAAGAACATTAGTTTAATTAAAATAAAAATAGAATCTTGCGAGATTTTTGTGCCATAAAATTATTTTTTTCAGCAAAAATAAGCTTCAGAATTAAAAGGGATAGAACGTTTAAAAACCCACTGTTCAAATCAAACAAACCCACCAATAACAATAAAGTGAGTACCTTGAAAGCCACATATGACTTGCTGGAGTTCTTAATCCTGACAGCACTCCTCGCCTGCTTTCCTGGTTCATCTTCAATATCACAAACACAAAACAGGGAAAAAAACAAAAAACCCAATCAGCTTAAGTTCCAAAATTCGTTCATTAGATAACCCAATTCGACCTCGGAATCCCCAAAAAAAAGGCGACACCTTTACAAGAACAAAACTTGAAGAAAACAAATAATTAACCCACGCACAAGGGAAGTAGAGGTTGCTGGAAGGGTCCAGGCGGAGTCTCCGACGGGTGGGTAGTATCGATCTGGCGACGGAGGATACGGCGGACGAGCGCGTGTTTGGAGCAGCGCCGCCGTACTGGTGGCCGTGGTTCTGGGGTGGTTGGTCGTACAGATTCTGGGTGGACGAGGAAGAAGAAGACGGCGCTGCGGACTGCCAGAAGGGACATATCCCCCACTTGGGGTGGTGGGGGCTGTCGGCGATCGCCATGTTCGCCGGAATCGAGCTGGTTCAAGGTTTTTCCTTTTCTCTCTTACAAATCAGTGTAATGCGATTTTTCAGGTCGCCAAAATGCAAGTTGACTGAAGTCGTAATGTGAAAAGTCGGAAGACATTTGTTTGGCTATTTATATAAATTGCGAATTTCAATTGGGTTACTTTTTATTATTATTATTATTAAAATTTATGTGCGTTCACATTTACTTCGTGCAAAAATTAATCAATTGGTATATATATGTTGACTGATTAAAAAGTTAGGGATTGATATATACATGCATGGTTGAATAAGATTAGTCAATCTTTTTTTCTTTTCTTAAAAGATTTTCAACATATAATTGCTTGTTTATGTTTGAACGAAAAATCAAGTCAACGAATTTAATCATAACATCAACACATTGGTAAAGTCAAGTTTGCCATATGATACACTCTTTGCATTGAATTCCAAAATATATATATAAATCACAAAAAAAAAAATATATATATATATATATAATAAGATGGAAAACCCGAATGACCCGTACATATATGCAAATGTATATTGTATTTATATATGTTAATATATCATAATAAAAAATCAAATATGGTAATTAACTGAATGGCGTCAACATATAATACTATGTAGAATAATTATTTCTTACTAGATCTAATTAACTTTATAGAAGTAGAAACAGCCACACAATGAAAAAATAAGGTTGTGAATAATGAAAAACAATAGATTAACTAAAAAATTTTAAAATCATTTCCGGATAACAATATAGTTAATAATAATTGTATGATTATAATAATTAATATAAGAGAATATGTGAGTTGGAAAAGGAGAAACACTAATAATTGCGAGTACCGACCCTATTATATGTAGTTTAGGTTTGTTGGTAAAAGGCTAGTTGGGAGATGAGAATTATTTGAGTAATTTAATGACATTTCCCAGCCCCAGGTGACATTTTCTGCTTATTTGAATAATTATCACATTGTAGGGAACAATTAAACATCATAGCCTACTTACAACATATCATAACATGGCTGAAATAGACAATTAAACTCCTGGCGTAAGACATGTATGGTACGTGTAATTGAAAATCTAACTGATAATTAATAAGTTAGTTAATATCTTATAAGTGAATTTTAAATTTATTTTCAGTAACTTATAGATAATGGCTTAAATGCTAGTCGATATAATAAGATTATTTGGTAAAATTACTTGATAAATCAGTTGAAATAAGAAATAAAGTTTATTTGAAAAAATAAGTCGAATTTACTTTTTTTTTTAATATAATTCTACCAAACTAAAGTTATTTGAATACAAGAAAGAAACTAACTAAATAAGCTATTAACTAATTATATACAACGAGAAAATATGTGAAATTCTAAGTTATCGGTTGGTCTTGTATTAGGCCATAACCATTAGACTGGCATATATTTTTTTTTATATAAATATGCACATTTTCATTTGAATATGTCATATTCTTAAAACAATATAAACATAATGTATTTTTGCTCAAATTGTATAGCAATTGACCGAGTCAAATGGTTAAATTTTCTCACACAATAATTTATAATAATAAGTGATTTTATAACAAGCTCGATATCACTTGTTGGAGATTTTATGAGCTTTAATTACAGAGGTTGAAAATTTTAATTTCCAATGAATGGAAGAAGGTGGGCTTTTATGAGAAATTAAAAGGTGGTGAGATGACTGCAACATCTTCATCAAAAGTTTAGTTGGCCTCTTACCTACTCTTTTATATGAAGAATTTGATGTAACTACTTTGGATAATTTCAACCGAAAGTATCTTCATATGAAATTAGTTTTAAAATCTAAATATAAATATTAAACCTGATAGTTTTAACAGTTTCGAGCTAGTTCTAGCTATAGGTTTATTTTTATGGATTTAAAAAAACAAAATGAAACACTTGAAACTAATCCAAATTGGATTAATCGGGTTATTGATGGGTCATGCTATTAAACTCATTGAATAAATATAATATAATATTAAGTTTAATTTAGTTATAGATATTATAACATAGTTTTAGGTGAGTTGTATAGCTAAATCTATGAAAATCATAATTTTACAGAATAATATAAACGTTTTTATTATAGGCCATTAGGGAGTAAATAGTAATTCCATTTTATTAATATAAAAATTAAAGTCAATGGAACAACAAATTATAGGGAAAAATCAGTAATTATATATGGGAGGGATAATGTGGGAAGTAATGTCATGTATCCCCTTCGAAATCCAATACTTGTGTGGGCGTATAGGAGGGGTACCCTTCGGAGCTCTTGTTGGGCTATGAACAAGAGATCCACACAATCTAATTGAGGCCCATTAGGTTCTATTCTATTTGGATCAGGTTGTTTGTAATGAGAACCATCACATTTCCAAGCCCAAATGTCAACCTGGTAACCATGGTTCATGAATGGTCCCGACGAGTTGGAATATCTCCTTAAGAATTTGGAATCTTCACTGAATTTACATATTCTCTTTACCTGCGAAATTATAGAAGAAAAAAAAAAGGGGAAGAAGAAGAAGAGAGATCCGTGTAAAACAAAAGAAAGAGAAAAAAAAATATATATATATATATATATAATAAGATGGAAAACCCGAATGACCCGTACATATATGCAAATGTATATTGTATTTATATATGTTAATATATCATAATAAAAAATCAAATATGGTAATTAACTGAATGGCGTCAACATATAATACTATGTAGAATAATTATTTCTTACTAGATCTAATTAACTTTATAGAAGTAGAAACAGCCACACAATGAAAAAATAAGGTTGTGAATAATGAAAAACAATAGATTAACTAAAAAATTTTAAAATCATTTCCGGATAACAATATAGTTAATAATAATTGTATGATTATAATAATTAATATAAGAGAATATGTGAGTTGGAAAAGGAGAAACACTAATAATTGCGAGTACCGACCCTATTATATGTAGTTTAGGTTTGTTGGTAAAAGGCTAGTTGGGAGATGAGAATTATTTGAGTAATTTAATGACATTTCCCAGCCCCAGGTGACATTTTCTGCTTATTTGAATAATTATCACATTGTAGGGAACAATTAAACATCATAGCCTACTTACAACATATCATAACATGGCTGAAATAGACAATTAAACTCCTGGCGTAAGACATGTATGGTACGTGTAATTGAAAATCTAACTGATAATTAATAAGTTAGTTAATATCTTATAAGTGAATTTTAAATTTATTTTCAGTAACTTATAGATAATGGCTTAAATGCTAGTCGATATAATAAGATTATTTGGTAAAATTACTTGATAAATCAGTTGAAATAAGAAATAAAGTTTATTTGAAAAAATAAGTCGAATTTACTTTTTTTTTTAATATAATTCTACCAAACTAAAGTTATTTGAATACAAGAAAGAAACTAACTAAATAAGCTATTAACTAATTATATACAACGAGAAAATATGTGAAATTCTAAGTTATCGGTTGGTCTTGTATTAGGCCATAACCATTAGACTGGCATATATTTTTTTTTATATAAATATGCACATTTTCATTTGAATATGTCATATTCTTAAAACAATATAAACATAATGTATTTTTGCTCAAATTGTATAGCAATTGACCGAGTCAAATGGTTAAATTTTCTCACACAATAATTTATAATAATAAGTGATTTTATAACAAGCTCGATATCACTTGTTGGAGATTTTATGAGCTTTAATTACAGAGGTTGAAAATTTTAATTTCCAATGAATGGAAGAAGGTGGGCTTTTATGAGAAATTAAAAGGTGGTGAGATGACTGCAACATCTTCATCAAAAGTTTAGTTGGCCTCTTACCTACTCTTTTATATGAAGAATTTGATGTAACTACTTTGGATAATTTCAACCGAAAGTATCTTCATATGAAATTAGTTTTAAAATCTAAATATAAATATTAAACCTGATAGTTTTAACAGTTTCGAGCTAGTTCTAGCTATAGGTTTATTTTTATGGATTTAAAAAAACAAAATGAAACACTTGAAACTAATCCAAATTGGATTAATCGGGTTATTGATGGGTCATGCTATTAAACTCATTGAATAAATATAATATAATATTAAGTTTAATTTAGTTATAGATATTATAACATAGTTTTAGGTGAGTTGTATAGCTAAATCTATGAAAATCATAATTTTACAGAATAATATAAACGTTTTTATTATAGGCCATTAGGGAGTAAATAGTAATTCCATTTTATTAATATAAAAATTAAAGTCAATGGAACAACAAATTATAGGGAAAAATCAGTAATTATATATGGGAGGGATAATGTGGGAAGTAATGTCATGTATCCCCTTCGAAATCCAATACTTGTGTGGGCGTATAGGAGGGGTACCCTTCGGAGCTCTTGTTGGGCTATGAACAAGAGATCCACACAATCTAATTGAGGCCCATTAGGTTCTATTCTATTTGGATCAGGTTGTTTGTAATGAGAACCATCACATTTCCAAGCCCAAATGTCAACCTGGTAACCATGGTTCATGAATGGTCCCGACGAGTTGGAATATCTCCTTAAGAATTTGGAATCTTCACTGAATTTACATATTCTCTTTACCTGCGAAATTATAGAAGAAAAAAAAAAGGGGAAGAAGAAGAAGAGAGATCCGTGTAAAACAAAAGAAAGAGAAAAAAAAATTATATAAAAAGGAACCGTCACAATCTTTTAAAATAACAGTTATTATATGTTAAATACGACTTTTATATTTGCATTATAGTAATAGAATTGGATAATTATGAAAACACTCCTACGCTATTGCAAAAACGGAATAAATATTTAAAAAGAGATGGAAAGTATCGAAAAACGGAATAAATATTTAAAAAGAGATGGAAAGTATCTTTATTTCGTATCAAAATTAGCTTCAGAATCCAAAACAAAAAGGAAGGAAATAAAGAATGAAAAAGAAAAAGAAAAATACTACTAATAGTGACTTCATTGTTTTCTTCGTTATAAAGTTAAAAAATATGGGGAAATTTGAATTTATGTAATTCAAATTTTGTTTAAATTGAATCACTAGTTAAATTTTCGACTATTAATAGTGACTTCATTGTTTTCTTTGTTTTTATTTTCTTTCCTTTTTCTATTGGGTATCCAAATTCCAACAAAAATACTTATAAGTAGTACATCGGTTAGGACAAAAACTCGTTCGAGTTCTTTCGTGTTCGATAAGAGTTCGTTAGTTTGTTAATCAAGCCGCGTTCGAATAGAAAATCAGACTTATTTAATAATCGAACAAATACGAGCTCGTTCACGAACGTTCGATAATGTTCGCGTATATTAATTTAATATATTTTTTTTTTATATTTACATAAATATTTTAGTAAAAACTATATAACATAAAAATATTTACATATTTTTTTTTTTTTTAGAGTTCGAAAGAACAATTTTCGAGTTAATCAATTATATTTAAAAAGTTTATTTCTTAAATTATGCGAATACGAACGAACTCGAACTTTGAGGAACAACTAATCCAATGAGCTCGAACCCCATTTTTTGTTCTAATAAACGAACACACACAACAGTGTTTGAACGTAAACGAACACGAGCTTGAAATGCTCAAATTCAGCTCGTTCGGTTCTATTACACTAATTTTATGTAAGTGGTGTAAGGTACTAAGGTTACTCTTAGTTTTACTATATATAAATATTAACCATAATAAGTAATACCTAATTAAAGTTTACACTTTATGTATTTATTATATATATTTTCTCAAAAAAATATCATAACCGCTATATGATGGGCAAATAATTTTCGTTCATCCTTTTTCTCAATTATTATTATTGTCATAATAAACACACACAGTCACACTAACCGCACTAACAAACACGTCCCTTCATTTTCTCGGACAATTGCCCCCCACACACTATTCCTTACAGTTATTCGCTTCCCTCTAATTTTCATTTTCTCTCGTAATTTTTTCATTATTTCATAAAATTCCGCATGAAAATTGTCTGAATTAAGGCATTCCATCGCTAGCGTGCACAATGGATTCCGATAAGATCCATGGCCGGAGAAAATTCTCCTCCTGTTTCAACCCAACCGCCGCCGAGGACGCACCGCCCGACGACGGCAACAGCCGCCGGAAAAAGAAAAAGGCGCGCCGCAGCCTCTCCGGCTTTATGAAGGCGGTTTTCTTCAAAATGCCGTTGGTGAGAAGTTCATTAATTTTTTATCTCTCTGTCCCCACTTTCCATTTTTTTCCCATTAATTGATTGATATATATGGTTTGCCATTATTTTCTGGGTAATTAAGAAATTTTAGTTTTCCTATTTTTTCTTAGATTTCATAAGTTAAATAGAAAAACATTCATGATAGTGTTTGTTTTATTGCTATTTGGTGCGTGAATACTTGTAATCCAACTATTGATAAATGTCTGCACGGTAGAATTAATTTACCGTAATTTTGTAGTTAGTTCTATCAATGTGTTAACTTTGTTGGGTAATTAAGATTTTTTTTTCCTAATTTGTTTGGATTTCCATATGTTAAATAGAAAACCCTTCATGGTAGAGGTCGTTTTATTATTGTTAGATTAACACACACCCATATGAATCTATTTGTGAATAAGTGTAATCCAACTGGTGATAAGTATGATTGAATCAACCGTTAATGATTATCGATTTTTTGCAGTGGAAAACGCTCCGAATGAAGAGGTGGAAGCGCGATTCCTACCGATCAAACAATGGCATTCCCACCAAAAAGCCGATGACGAAGAAAAAAATGCCACCTTGGAAGATTTTTTCCGACCTAGATGAAGAAACTTCTTCCAGTGGGGAAAAATCCGGCCGTTTATCCTTATTCTCGTCCACATCATCCTTGCGCTTGTCCTCGATATCATCAAACTCAAGCTCGGGATCCGAAAGAGGTAAGATCATGTCCAATTGCCTCGAGTCGAGCCAGACGAGCACGAATATCAACATCAGACAACATGCCATGAAATTGGTCAACATTAGCAAGTCATGTGATTGTAGAGGATTGATGTTCATTATTTTGGTTTGTTTGGTGGCTTTGATTTTTTGTGGCAAGGCTTTTGCTATAGTGACTTGTACCTCGGCGTGGTTGTTCTTGGCGCCCCGACGGGCCGGGCCCAAATGCAAGGGCCCGCGGGCTAACGACGCGGAGGATTCGAAGGAGTACAAGAAAAGGGTGATCATGGAAGGGTTCTTGGAGAGGAATGAAAAGTCTAGAGTGGTACCATAGGAGATTTTGAAGGAGTGTTAGAAGGATATTTGTTTTGATTTTTGTATTAAGTTGTAGTCAATGTTTTTTTGTTTAGTTGTTTGCTTGAGAGATATATATGTATACTTTTTTTCTTTGTTCTCTAGATTCATCACTTTTTGTTAGCTTGATTTTTGAAGGTGATTCATTCATTGTAATGTGAGTGAGATTGTAAGCTTGTTGTTTTTTGTTCTATTTTACCTTTCCTCATGAAGTTGTATTTTTTGTTTTCTTTTTAATCTCAATTAGGATTTGACTATTAAGTATGTCTTAGCCCCCATAGCTGATTGTTGTACAATAACATTGGCTTTGGTAAGATGTCAAGATTTTGTATTGATGTTATACATTTGTTTGTTAGGTACTATGTTTATGCTGGTAAATGTTAGACACATAACTCAATAAATATACATATTTAAAATTCAATAAATAAAGACATAGTCTTTATTTGGAATAGTTACACAACTTATTCTTCAAGTAAAACAAAATTATACCCACTTACTCTTCACATATAAAGAATGGCCTATTTCTATTAGTCTCTTCACATTGACTTTTCATCATGTACTTATCCTATAAATACAAAATGCTTGTCCAAGAAAAACCAACACATTAAATTATGTAAGTTTTGCAAAATAATGACAATATAAAAATAGAAAAGAAAAAAAAAAAATATCGTAACATTGAGCTTGGCTCTGATCGGTTTGTAAGGTATGAATTCGGTTCAATTCAATTCGTTTATCCAATATTGATAAACAAGTAAAATTCAAGCTTCGAGTTGTTTGTTTCGCTTGTCGCGATTCAATAAAAGTTGAGCCTTATCAAGATTCCAACTCATTTATTTACAACTTTATGCAGAGTATCCACTAATTTGAATTGCAAACTTGCAAAGCAATACCAGAAAAATGTTACTACATGAAATTAAAATTATTTATAAAAAATAAATTTAATTGGAGTTTTGATGATGATTTGATATTTACTAATTACAAATCGCGAGATATATGATACGATTTTTTTCTTTAAATAAAAATTAAAAAAAATAAGTGGACAAAAACAAAAAGAAAAATTAAAATGTAGACCAAAATCAAAAGATCGTATTCTGAAAATATGTAAACAAAATACGTTTTACATTGTAAAACGTATTCTCGAAATACGTTTTAATTTTAAAACGTATTACAATAATACGTTTTATAAATAAAACTAATTTTATAATTTACATTTAATTGTAAAACGTATTACAGGAATACGTTTTACAAAAAAAATTAATAATTTATATTTAATTTTTTTTATTTTTCGCTATATATACTTCGGGTGTTCCGTTGGGTCTCGATAAACGAGTCGAGTATTAAGGAAAAGTGCTTTCGAGAAAACACGAGAAAAGGAGAAGCCGTTTATTGCGTCGATTTATTATTTCGAGGTCCCGATCATTTATTTAAAGAAGCTCGAGTTCGAGGGTGCATAGTAGTAAAATAAATGAAAAAACCCTTTACGTGAGTCCCGCAAGGTCGCGTGTGACTTCGGTTTACCGAGAATCGAGTTGGGGCGTGTAGATAATTCAGGCACGATGTAATGCGGGGCATTTATCGAGTATTTCGGAGTTCCGAGCATTTAATTAGAGAACTTGAATTTCCGTGGTAATAGTAGCAAAATAAGCGAGAAGAAGAGACTTCAGGTGTTCCGTCGGGCCTCGATAAGCGAGTCGAGCATTAACGCAAAGTGCTTTCGAGAAAGCACGAGAAGAGGAGAAGTCGTTTATGGTATCGATTTATTATTTCGAGGTCCCGATCATTTATTTAGAGAAGCTCGAGTTTGAGGGTGCATATTAGTAAAATAAATTAAAAAAGCCGTTTACTTGGGTCCCGCAAGGTCGACTTTGACTTCGGTTTACCGAGAATCGAGTTGAAGCATGTAGATAATTCAGGCACGATGTCATGCAGAGCATTTATCGAGTATTTTGTAATTCCGAGCATTTAATTAGAGAAACTTGAATTGCTGTGGGAATAGTAGCAAAATAAGCGTGAAGAAGAGACTTCGGGTGTTCCGTCGGGCCTCGATAAGGGAGTCGAGCATTAACAAAAAGTGCTTTCAAGAAAGCAGGAGAAGAGGAGAAGCCGTTTATGGCATTGATTTATTATTTCGAGATCCCGATCATTTATTTAGAGAAGCTCGAGTTTGAGGGTGCATATTAGTAAAATAAATGAAAAAGCCGTTTGCGTGGGTCCCGCAAGGTCACGTGTGACTTCGATTTACCTAGAATCGAGTTGGGGCATGTAGATAATTCAGGCACGATGTCATGCGGGGCATTTATCAAGTATTTCGGAGTTCCAAGCATTTAATTAGAGAAACTTGAATTCCCGTGGGAATAGTAGCAAAATAAGCGAGAAGAGGAGACTTCGGGTATTCCGTCGAGCCTCGATAAGCGAGTCGAGTATTAACGAAATGTGCTTTCGAAAAAGCACGAGAAGAGGAGAAGCCGTTTACGGCGTCGATTTATTATTTCGAGGTCCCGATCATTTATTTAGAGAAGCTCGAGTTCAAGGGTGCATATTAGTAAAATAAATGAAAAAGCCGTTTACGTGGGTCCCGCAAGGTCACGTGTGACTTCGGTTTACCTAGAATCGAGTTGGGGCGTGTAAATAATTCAGGCACGATGTCATACGGGGCATTTATCGAGTATTTCGGAGTTCCGAGCATTTAATTAGAGAAACTTGAATTCCCGTGGAAATAGTAGCAAAATAAGCGAGAAGAGGAGATTTCGGGTATTCCGTCGGTCAAGAGATTTCAAGAATAATTTGGTCATGCAAGCATCATTGAATAGAGGGGGTCGTTAGCTACGTACGAAACTCAATTCCGAGTTCAGACGATCCCAAACGAGCTCGAAACACAAAATACATACTAAATATTTTTTTTTTCATTAATTTTAAAATATAAAATGTATTATGAAAATACGTTTTATTTTTTTTAAAAAAAACGTATTATAACAATACGTTTTATAATGTTTTTTAATTTATTTTATTTTTAAATAAAATTAATTATAACACGGAGAATACGTGTATTTGATTTTGAGCTACTAATTTTTTTTTTTGTTTTAGTTTTGTTCACTTATTTTTTTTTATTTTTTTAAAAAATAAATTACCCTATATGATACAGCAAACAAGAAGCAGAAAAATGTCGAAAAAAATGGCCACACATTTATCCATCTTTCGAACTCACACCTTCCCCATCTTCACCTTCTACTCGCCACCACGCGCCGCTGCTGCCAGATTTCTACTCAGCTCCGCCGCCGCTTTATCCTTCTCAAGCACCCCGTACGGCCCCTCCCTCCGAAAGGGCCACGCCCCTACTCCCCTCGAGCTGCCTAAATTACAGTCGGATGAGAACATCGCGCCCCTCGACGAAGCCGCATTCACCCGAGTTTTCGAAATCTCCGCCATCAGAGTCCCGTCGGAAGTCTGCTCCACGCTGGAGAACCGCTTTCGTGGCCACCTCCTCAACTGGCCGCGCGTGAAGAACATCGCCAGGGTCCCCGGCGACGAGGTCGACGACCAATTGGAAGGCGTTATGTTCAATTCGGCCAATCTAGCTGGAGTTGAAGGCGAAGATGATAGGCTAGTGGCGTTAAATAGGAGGATTTATGGGAGAGCGGAGGGGGACGGCGAGCCTCTCAACGGGGTTCTGTATCGTGATAAGCTCGTCAAAACGTTTGATTCGCGAGGCTATGTTAAGTTTAGGAATCTGGCTAAAATTTCCAGGCCGAAGAAGAAAAAGAAGAAAGGGAGGGATGGAGGGGAAGAAAGAGAGGTGAAAGGTGTTGGGAGGAATGAGATAGCCATTGTTGAGGTGGTTGAGGATTGCTATGAAGTCTGTGATGATGAGGATTTCAGCGGGTTGTTGGGGGAGGATTTTGGGAAGAGGATTTCGAGGTGGAGAGGGTCGACGAGGCTGTTGCTATTGGATGAGAAGTATGCAAATAAGACGATTGATGAATTGCCTGAGGCGATTAAGGTTTGTGCTTTACGTCATTTTATCGTGGTGTGTGTTTCTGTGAATGTTCGACGTGTTTGCAGTTGTGTGGATTGTGTATGTTAGCTCATTTCTGGTGGCTTTTGTTTCACTTTGTGGTTGGGATGCGTGATTTTAGTTTAGTTGCTTGATATTGGAAAATCGTACCATATTAGTTAGGTTGTGATTCTGTTCTGTTTTGGGGAAGATGGGAAGATTCTAAACAAACAATTAGTAAGAATCATTGTTTGCTGGGTGGCAAAATATGATACATGCTTGTTTGTTTGTTCATATATTCTTGATTTCATGGTTGAATTACTTTCTCTTTGAGATAAACGACATGATTTTCGTCACTATTTAATCTGTTTGTCAATTGTATTTCACTGGTCATTTTAGAAAACCGAGATATATTGGTTAGTTAAATCATAGACTTGACTTCCAACTTGGAAGACTAGCGAAAGAAGTTCCAGATGATCTGTAGGGAAATGAAAAGACGCATGATGAAATCTGCATTTGCGTTACCTGGTAACATAAATTTGTCCAATGTGTACATTTCATGGAATACCTACTTCGTAGTTTTGACGTTCGTCCAATCTCTCTGGATGAAGTTCGCTGTCTCTGGCAATTACTATGTGACACATCAGGGGTATCATGTATTACTTTCCAATTTAATTGTTCAGGTAGTTTTTCAAGAACAGGATGGTGAACGTAGTTCGCCAGCTTTTGAACTTGTGAAATGCACATTGACCCTGCTTTACGAATATTGGCCAATGAACGAGGTATCTTACACGAGCAGTTCAGTTATATTTCTCCTTCTCTGTTCGTAGTTGTTTGATTCTTTTTGGTGTCATGATCTTTTAAGCTGATTAGTGCTTTACTTCTACTTTTTTAGCTTTTGGGATAGTTGCTTTCTAAGTTTGTTTTCTTTCTTGTGTTACTATGTCTCTTATTAGATTTGTGATAGTAAGATATATTATTTGATGCGTTATCATTTATTTCTTGTTATTCTTCTGTTTTATTCATTAAAACGTATTAGATGTATAGTAAAGGAAAACGACAAAGAGCCTATCAATATGTAAATGCTAATTGTGATTTGTATGTGCATATATAAATACTAGTTGAGTTTTGCATGTAACTAATT